GCATGGAGCCCGATATAGAGCTCAATCTCATGACCCTGAAATCAAGACCTGAGCCAAAATCAAGAGTTGGACACTAACCGACTACATCACCCAGGCACCCATAATGGGGGCTAATTTTGCTTAAAGTTTTTGAGACTTGGGTTTTTGAAGTAGGCAAGTCTTCTGTTAGACGGCCATTGTTTGCTGTGTCTTGTATGTACAAAGTCACCTGGGCACTGTGGGCAACAGAGATAACCGATATTGCTCTTGCTCTGTGGCGCCTACAATCTTGGGAGACATTCAGACGTTCAGGTCACGTCACAGCATCAGCACAACGCAGTGGGTCACTGATAAAACTATAAAGATGGGCATGGTCACATTCTGGTGAGTCAGCTGGCACCAGAGAAGCCCATTCACAACCCAAGACCTCCCTTCACAGAGTGTCATGGGAACCACCTGGAGCAACTGTGACCAGTGGTTCTTGTTTGTAAAGAAGCAGAGGCCCAAATTAGGACTAAGCAAGGCTCATACACTTGGAGAAGGGCATGTTGAAAAATAGAACCTCATGTAGGTACACAACATGCTGGAGGTTAGATTTAACCCAAAAGAAAAACTTCTTAATTACTTAATGTTAGAGCATCTTCTTTTATAAATAGAGCTAATAAGAGTTTAAATCAAATGTATTTAGAACATCTCTACCTGGTTTCCTCCAGCACTTTAACTTATCCTAACACTTAGTTGCTCATCTATTCCTCCTGTCTGCCATCTCTCCTCTAGTGGAACCACCTGGTACTCAAACTAGAAATGCAGGTGGCACTCTTCATTCTTGCTCCTCAGTCCCTACCAGCACTCAGGAGTCAGCTCTGTGACTGCCTCCTTTCCAATTCTCAGGCTGTCTTCTCTCTCTCCCACTGCCTTCTTCAAGGTGGGAGTTGGCCTCCTTTCTGCTTTTCTTGATTCCAGGCTCCTTTTCTCCAACCCATTCTCTGCCCTGTTGATGGAAACATATTCTAGAATGTTGATCTGATCCCATCACTCTTCTTCCTAAGAGTCTTCAAGGACTCCATGGCGAGCCCCCTGGCCCCCACATGGCGCCACATTCCCACCACACCCCATCTTGAGGTTCAGGGTGTTTGTCTCAGCTCTACCAGATGACTTGCATTTCACTGTAGATATCATGATTTTCTTTTTTTTTTTTTTTTAAAGATTTTGTTTATTTATTTGACAGAGAGAGAGACAGTGAGAGCAGGAACACGAGCAGGGGGAGTGGGAGAGGGAGAAGCAGGCCTCCCGCCAAGCAGAGAGCCCGATGCGGGACTCGATCCCAGGACCCTGGGATCATGACCTGAGCCGAAGGCAGATGCTCAACGACTGAGCCACCCAGGCGCCCATGATTTTCTTTTTTAGAATTCTTTCTTTCCCTCCTTCATCTAACTCTCACTTGTTCTCTAAAGCCTTTTCTTTTTTTTTTTTTAAGATTTTATTTATTTATTTGACAGAGAGAGACACAGAGGGAACACAAGCAGGGGGAGTGGGAGAGGGAGAAGCAGGCTCCCCACTGAGCAGGGAGCCCGATGCAGGGCTCGATCCCAGGACCCTGAGATCATGACCTGAGCCAAAGGCAGACGCTTAACGACTGAGCCACCCAGGCGCCCCTAAAGCCTTTTCTGACTTAGGTCCTTGCTTATGTCTCCCACAGGGACCACGAGTCCACCATTTTGCATTCTCCGTGTCTGACATTGGGCACATAGGATGTGCTCTGTAGTGCTTATTGAAAGAGAGGGAGCAGAGGCTTTAATTCACATTGAGCTGTAAAGGAGCAATATCTGGCTCTTCCAAGAATGGGTTTGGTTTCAGGGCAAGAGAAGTATTATGACATCAGTTTCTTACTGGAAAAGTTGGTTGGGGAGTGCTGGTATAGAGCAAGACAAATGGAAGCCCTCAGAGCAGGAAAAGAGGCCATTGAGGAACTGAAGGGGTTGCCTACCTTAGATCACCAGGACAGTGTCTGATTCAGAAAGCTGCCAAAGAATCTGTGACTCAGTTTCCTTATTTATACTTAAAGGGAAGGGTCTACAGTAGGTAGTTACTCTGGCTCACATCTGACTCTGACATTCTATGATCCTTACAAAGTTAAGAATCTTGAATAGGGCATTCTGAATTGGTTTGAGACTCCCCCCCCCCTCCTCACTTTATTGCAAGCTTCTTGGGAACCAAAGACATTGTCTATTCCCATTTGGCAAGGATCGTTTTGCTTTTTTTTTTTTTTATTAAAAGATTTTTTTTTTAATTTATTTATTTGAGAGAGAGGATGAGAGGAGAGAGAGAGCACATGAGAGGGGGGAGGGTCAGAGGGAGAAGCAGACTCCCCGCCGAGCAGGGAGCCCGATGCGGGACTCGACCCAGGGACTCCAGGATCATGACCTGAGCCGAAGGCAGTCGCCCAACCAACTGAGCCACCCAGGCGCCCTCGTTTTGCATTTTAAAAACAAAGAAGTAGAAAGGAATACAGGAAAACTGCATTAATATGATACTATGCTTGAGAATTTAAACTCCCCCAAAGTCAAGAAATTCGCTCATCATCCTCTTCGCAGCTTTGGTTCAGATGCACTGCACGTCCAGCTTGTGGACGGCCCCTCCGTGGCCGGGAGTTATGGCAGCCTGGGAATCGATGCTGTGATCTTCCTGGCCCTTGGGTATTTCACTTCTCCAAGTTAATATCTGTTCTTTAGCGTTACATTATCTTGTAGAAAGGTAGTCATTTATAATTTATATACTGTGTACTGGCTTAAAATAGAGACAGGAGGATAATAAGCATCCCGAGGCTTCTAGTTTTCCAAAGTAACATTTCTTCAGTAAAGTCTGCCTGTAGGAATTAAAAACCTGCCTTGAATTAAAAAACCCTTTGTGGGGCGCCTGGGTGGCTCAGTCGTTAAGCGTCTGCTTTCGGCTCAGGTCATGATCCCAGGGTCCAGGGATCGAGCCCCACATCGGGCTCCCTGCCCTGCTCCTCCCTCTCCCACTCCCCCTGCTTGTGTTCCCTCTCTCACTGTGTCTCTCTCTCTCAAATAAATAAATAAAATCTTAAAAAAAAAATAAAGTAAGAAACCCTTTGTGCTATTGTCAGACTGGAGAAATGCATGTGCCAACAAACATTTAGTAAGCCTTACAGAAGGGGAAGGAGATCATGTTGTTTTTTTTTAATAAAACTTGTCATTTAATTTTATTCTACTCAAAATCATTTCTTTTTTTTTTTAAAGATTTGATTTATTTATTTGCGAGAGAGAATGAGAGAGAGCAAGCACATGAGAGGGGGGAGGGTCAGAGGGAGAAGCAGACTCCCTGCCGAGCAGGGAGCCCGACGCGGGACTCGATCCAGGGACTCCAGGATCATGACCTGAGCCGAAGGCAGTCGCTTAACCGACTGAGCCACCCAGGCGCCCTCAAAATCATTTCTGAAGACCTCAACCTTTGGAGTGTTCCAGGGGCCTCACCAAAGTCCCGGAGAGGTGATGGGGCAGAGCTGGAAGGGCAGACAGAAGAAATGGCCCCAGTAAAGGACAAAAGCCAATTCGTATCTCAGCCACTTGTCTGCTGCGGTTTTGGTGCCCTTCCATCTAGCTTGCTACTTTGCTCTTTGACTGTAAACACAGAGAAGGGTTGGGCTTTCCTGTTGAGTACCTCGTAGAGAACACACTGTTCATTCATATATATTAAAAATAGAAGGCCTAGTTGAAAAATCCTCTGTACAATCAGGTTTTAGCAAAAGCCAATCAGTTATCAGAGGTCTAACTTAGTTTTTCCTTCTTGCTTTTATAACATGTCTCTAAACCCTAAATTTTCTCCCTTTCCTTTTCATTATGCATCTTCCGTGTGCCAGGACATTGGGAGAAGATTTCTAATGAGGGCAGGAGAAGGACAGATGGTTCTGCAGTCGAGTGGTCTTGCCCTTCCTGTGTCTGGCGATTTTGCATTTGAATCCCCAAATTATTCTTACTTTGACCTCCATCTCTGGGATGTGTCTCATGTGCTCACAACTGTGCCCGGTGTATATCTGAATGTCCACCAGATGCAGGGGGGAGGGTGTGATGAGGCTGGGGGGTGAGCCCAGCTAGGGGGCTAGTGTGGGACATCCTGGGTGATTTAACTTGGAAGCCACAAGGTGGCAACATTTACTAAGCGGCTGGGCCTTTTCTTCTCTCATTAAGATGTTGAACTTGCTTTTCCATTTTCTCAGATTGAAAAGCTGAGAAAAGGGTTTAGCAGCCATTGCTTTAGGTCCTTTCAGAAAGTGAAACTGTAGGATAAGCGTGCTGCAGTATATTGGTGTCTGTTCATCCCCTGGGTTTAGATACCAAGAGTTTGAAATTGCTCCGTGTGACTGTGGCTGAGTCACCTCTCCTTTGGCCTCAGTTACGCATCAGGATAGGAGAGATGTGTGGTTGGGCTGACTGGTAGCTAATGGTTCTTTTTGTGCGTGATTTATGACTTCAGTTACAAGTTACTCCCCTCTGTTGCTTTTTTAAAAAAACTTCCAGTAAAACTAGTCTTTAAAACAGAACAAAACAAAACAAAAACCCAGTAGCTTTTTATCAAAGGACAGTGTCATGATAAAAAAAAAAAAAAATCAACGACAAAGTCTCAAAGAAATTAATGTCCTAGAAGCTAGCCATCTCCCTGGGTTAACTCAAGAGGCTAGACTCTCCTAAATGAGGATGCTTATTTACCAGCTTTCCTAAATTAGCAGCTTTGGGGATATTAAGATCTGTAAGGAACTGTCCAAGGGAGGTATTGTGTATGCTTTGCAGTGATTAAGCCATTAAGCTCTAATTGGTATTTTCCCACTCACGGTTTGTGTAGGAAGCTTTAAAATTATTTAGGAATTCTGTGCTCATCAGCCATCTTAGTGTCATCCCCACATTTTAGAACCCGCGAGCAGGAAGTGCAGAGAAAAGGTTTTTGTTCAAGCGGATTATGACTTTTGCTCACAATACCCTCCCTGTTGGTCTGTTATATTGCAGATGAAGTGGAAAGGGAAGGACCTGTTTGACTTGGTGTGCCGGACCCTGGGGCTTCGGGAAACTTGGTTCTTTGGACTGCAGTACACGATCAAGGACACCGTGGCCTGGCTCAAAATGGACAAGAAGGTTGGGCTGGAACTTGATGAGAGCAGTGAGGCTGGTGTGTGCTCTGGTTTTTCCCTGAGCATGTGCCTAGCTACTTTGCTCATCATGGGGCACTAGGGACACCCAGTAGAGAAGGGGGCAAGTCCTGAAGTAAGTTGTGTAGAGAACAGGTCCCAGAGATGCCACAGGCTTTCTGCTCCTCCTAGGCCAGCAGAACCAACCAGGATGAAGCTGTTGCCCTCCCTGGCTTCTTTACTCATCGTCACCAGGCTGATTGCTTCTGGCTTTGTGCTATTCAATTTATTGAACCACTAGTCAGGCTTTATGAATAAAAATTACTATTACATTATTAATCCTTTTTTTTTTAAATAGTTTATGTCTTTGAAAGATTTGCCTGGGACTCATGTTCTTTAGGGAATGTGTAAGTCTTTTTTGAGAAACACTGTGGCCCAGTTCAATTTAGTCATTAACATGATCCAAGGAATAGAGAGTGCCCCACTTCCTTTGGTGAAGAAACAATGTCCGTTTTTTCTTTATGATTCTCTGGGCCTTCTGAGGTTTGGAAGACAAGTTGGGGCTCCCGGCAGTTCTAATGTGGCTTAGAAATGGATATTACCTAAGGAAACTGCTGTCTGCATGGATTCATGTGTGCACACACACAAAGGCACACTTACCTACTTACCTGCCTACCTAACCATGAAGACGTTTGGGAACAGGGCCTTTTTTTTTTGTTAGTAGCCCCTAAAAGACCCCTAGATCTCAAAGTAAGTCAATACCCTCTGCAATTGATTTTATCATCTGCTGCATGGCGTGATAGACAATGAACACCTCCTGTTTTGTTTTGTTTTTTATAAGTTTGACTCTAAGCTCAAGTGTTCAAATTGTGTTTCCATCTGTACACAGTAATCTGAATCTTCATGTTGGAATCTCCGCTGGTTATAAATTTTGTATGGTAATTCCCAATGGTCATGAGCATCAGAGTGCCACCATGTGCCGATATCAGTGAGAGAGTCCTAGATCTGGTTTATTTTGGGTCTCCTGGACGTTGCCACCTGGAATTTGGGCAGGAGCACGAAGAATTATCTGCCTAAGACAGCAAAACTTTCTGTATCTTTTTGTGATTCTCCACAAAGTAAATTTTAAATCATACCTGAGTATTGGCCAAATGGATATTAGATTGGGGGCATCAGGAGCCAAGGAACCTTGCTGCTCAAAGGAAATAAATTATGACACATGTTAATGGAGCCTTGTAGCCTGTCACATGGCATGTTTATGTCCTGAAATGAAATTCATTCTGGAGAGCAGATGGTTCAGGCTTTTCAGTGGGTGGATGAAATTGTTCGAAGATTAAAGCCAGTGTGGTTTACTGACTGTGCTCAAGTATTTTGCAGGGCATCTCTGGAGGTTCCTTGAAACAAAGGGTTGCCACCATGGACACATTCACTTTTGTTGCTCAGTTAATATTTAGAGGATTTCACAAAGATGAGGTTCATCATCTCTAAGCTCCCTCCCAATATGGACCTAAACGGGGGGTTGGCAGGAAGAAAAAAGAATAAAGGAAGATTCCCACGAGTTCAGAAAATTAAAAAAACCTTCAGCCTACTGTAAAGGATAGTGCCCAAGACCTTTGAGCTATAAATTTCTAGTTTTTAACTATCTCTGTGGCCTTGAGAACATCTGTGCCTTAATAATCTTAGCTCCACTCACCCCTTGATTTGGTTCAGAAACGCCATGTGAGGTGAACATTACCCCTTGTTATAGATGGCTTTGTGAATGCTTCAAACTGTAAGATCATAACCTTTGGGAAATGTGATGAATTTGGAGAGGGAAAAATATTTATATGTCCCTGAAAAACGTTCTTTGGTGGTGGCAGGGGAGGAACAGGTGCCAACATAGCTTGTTCTTTTGCTCTGTAATTGTGCAGGTGCTGGATCATGATGTTTCAAAGGAAGAGCCAGTCACCTTTCACTTCCTGGCCAAATTTTACCCTGAGAATGCCGAGGAGGAGCTGGTTCAGGAGATCACGCAACATTTATTCTTCTTGCAGGTACACCAGTCCGTGCTAGCCCCGCTTGTTCTGAGAGAACTCACCCAGGCCTGGTTGCCAAGGCAGCCTGGATGACCCCCTCGGAGTTGACCACAGATGCCTTCGCATTGTGAAAATGTTCTGCCTCTGGGAAGTCAGTCCCTTTGGTCCCGTAATGGAGGGGAAAAATCTTCAGAATAGAACTATACTTGAGAGATGTGAATTGGTGTCATATGAAATGGCAAAACTTTGGTAGTGTAAGAAGGGGTACCTGACTTGAAGCCTCTGAAGATGGATCCTGTTTTCTTGTCGCTGAGTGGAAGGTACCTAGTAGTTACAAAGGAAGTCCAAAGAGAGAGTCTTAGAAAGAGTACTTATTCCAAAAGTTTGAAATCTGCTGTCATTAAGACAGGACTTCAGAACTCCAGTGAGTTGGAGTTTAACTCCATGTGGCTAATCCTACACATGTGGAACTTCAGACATGGTGCTTCATGCTGCCCGTTGTCTATAAATGTCTTATTCATCTCCCGCTCCTTCATTACAGTGTAAGCCCCTGACAGGCAAGGCTCACCGAGTGCCCAGTCGGCATTCCAAAAGTAACTGCTCAACCGAGTTGAAGAAATGAGGAGCTCTGTAATTGTGGGTTCAAAGACCGCTAGTTGGCCGTCTGGGGGCACAGTGAGTCGGGGTCAATTTTGCTGGTGTTCTTATTGCTTGATCAGAGTTCTGCCCCAGTTTCGTGGTTAGTTGCAGTGACTGGTGCTGGAGCTGCTTGTGTGCGCAGTGGTGCTTACTGTCAGTAACAGAGAAGACTGCACAGGGGCATTAGTGACGTGATTTCCCGGAAGTAGATGTATGTATATTGTCACATAGTCCTCCTCTAATTAGTTTGAGCTTCAGATTGGTATGTTCAGTAAATATTAAGTTAAATGTAGTAAAACCCCTAAATAATTTACTTTACAAAAAAGTGTACGTATATATTTACATATATATATATGTATATATCCCCATCCCTAACATTTTCCTTCAAAGGGAAACCCCCTCAGTTTTTCTGTAGTGTGGATTTTTCCCCCTTTGCAAAGAAACCAAGGGATTAGAAAGTTGCGCTGCTTTGAATAAAACCGCATAATGATCTCCGAGGCCCCAGAATGTGCTAGCGTTACCGAGATGGCGCTTAGAAGCAGTGCCCATCCCTCATGTGACTCAGGTTTAATTTTCCCTCATACTGAAAAATTGGAGTGTTTCGTGGCTGAGCAAGGCAACACTTACTATGTCTATGAATCTGGTGAGTGTTGATATCTGTGAAAAGAAAGTTGGCTTTCCTGTTCTGTTTATTTCAGTGTGCCCTGCTTGGTGAGGCCCTCTTGCCTCAGTGTCTGCAACATCGCACACTGCATCATTCTAAGAAGTTAAATGCAATGAGATATGTTAATTCGACATTATGGCTTAAGAATTATATTTCCTGGACCTCACATGTACTTAAAAGTTTAATCGATCAAACTTTATTGCTTCCTTTTCCCTTAGAGCAGGCATTTTGAACATGATGGGTTTTTTTTCCTGCAGTCATAACTCAGTGGCCTTGCTGACTTTTGTCTTGTGTAAAGACTTTAAAGTAGACTCCATTTCCTCTAGTGCTGTGTGTGCTCAGCAGGGGCTGAGGCCCCAATCACCAGCAGAGCTGCTCCTCACACTTCCGGAATTCACAGCTCCCCTCTGTCACAGTCCAGATAGCAGTCTCTGTTTTAACCATGAAAAGTGTTTTTCCCCTTCAGGAAAAGGATCGTGAACAGAAGAGATAAGGGTTTTTTTTTTAATGCGTAGTCATCTTACCAATAACTTCTCAGCCCCTGTACTCCCAACCTGGCTGCAACAATAAAAAAAATTGTACCCTTTGTCAGAAAATTATTAACAGGCTGGTTTGGCAGCCCTCATTAGAACACCCTGCAGCCATCTGCTGTGACCAGCATGCACAGCTCACTTCCGCGCACACAGTGTCATGTCTCCCTTGTTGCCCCTTTTAGGTAAAGAAGCAGATTTTAGATGAAAAGATCTACTGCCCTCCCGAGGCTTCTGTGCTCCTGGCTTCTTACGCCGTCCAGGCCAAGGTAGGCTCAAAGAAGGAGAGTGCCTTCCTCCTTGGCATTAATGTGTGTCACGGGAATCACTCCAGTCTTTGGTTTCTTTGGGTTTTCTAGGCTTCAGAGAGACTTTCCCCAGGAGGGAGATGTTTAGGACTTGTGGGCTGGGGAAACCATAATCACTGTCCCAGATTCTGTATAATCTTGTGAGAATTATGGTGAATTATCTGTCTTTGTAATCTCATTACACACATGTGGTTAATTACAGTCACTGGACTTTTTATTAACCCAGGAAAATGAACTTATGGTCTCCAGTTTGAGCCAGACTATAGCCTTTAGGTCAAAAAGGCCCCAAACTCATCTTCTGAGGACCAGCCACCCTGTGTGTGGGAACCACACTGCTACCTAGAGCATGCCTTCCTTCATCCACCCCTGATGGGCATGCTTGCTGTGCTCATGGCTCGGTACGTCAGGCCCTTTGGCACCCTGAGCCCAGTTGAGCTGCCGGTGAGTCATTCATAGAGAAGTCACTGCGGATTGGGAGTGGTGGTGAGGGAGACCACCGCTCTTGTGTTTTGTCCTCTCTGTTTTCATAAGACCAACTAAAAAAAAAAAAAAAAAGTACATAAAACATAAAAAAAAAAAAAGACCAACTACAGGGTCAGTCAGGGGTGCTTCGTGTCCCTCAGATACCCCCCCTGTATTTGGTCCTGCTGCTTCCTACCTCCCACGGCAGCATAAGGAAAAGTCCCCAGAATTGGGGCACTTTCCTTACTTTTGTGATTTTGCATAATCTTTTCCATTTTTATTTTCCTTTTTCGTTAGAGGTGTCCACAAAGCCATTTCCCTGTGGTGTTATAAAAATTAATAAGACACTCTGAACTTCTTAGCCCACTTTTTTTGGGTAGCTTAATACAATTTCAGATCAAAGCCAGGAAATGCCTGGCCTGTCACTTGGCGGGGGGGGGGCGGGGGGGGGGCGGAGAAAAAGTCTGTTCATGCTGGTTAGACTAACAGAAGCACCAGAATCAATTCTATCATTTGATGACTCGTCTAATATTTGCTGAGTATCCATCAGGCCTGAGGAGGGATTGTTGACTCTGTCACAGATATAGACACAAAAGCGAGTATCTGCTCTTAGCAATTTGCCCAAGGTCATTTGGACAATCTTGGGTAAAGCTAAGGGCAGAATTCATGGCTTTGGGATTGTGTTTTGTGCCTCCCCTATTCCACTGCCCAGAAAAATGAGTAATTGAAAAAAACAGAAAATGGGCCTTGATTCAACTAAAACATATGCTTCCTTTTATGCCTTGATTAAGAATATTAATAACAGGAAAAATGTGTCCTTTCAGTCAGTATTGCCCTGACAGTGATGAAGCGGTCATTGTTGCTCTCATCAAATCCGAGCACTTCCTGGCCCAGAACTGAGTTCCTTTTTAGCAGGCTTTCTCCCCAGCTGAGAGGAGACCCAAGCTCTCAAGGACATTACTTCCCTTTGAAGGGCTTCAGTCTCAAAGGCTACATTTCCTTTGCATGGATTTTGGGCCACAAATTCAAAGGCCACCTGTGGAAAAAAACACAACTTTTCAGGGAACCAGCAGATGTTTGCTTAAACAGATTTCACTGTAGGAAAGCCCTACTAATTTGGATCCTACTAATTTAGAGATGAAAGTGATTCACAGACAGCATATGTGGTTCATATGGAGGAGGATGTTCTGTTTTTTCCGGTGTAAATTCTCAGAATCTTACAAATAAAGGTAATCTATGGCTTCAGGTCTGCATTGGAGAAACTAAGGATTATTATAACATGCTTCCAGTTGCTAGGACTGTTGGTTAATATAAAAAAAGGATCTCTGATTATGGTATTAATAAGATCTTACACACCTATGATGTTTTACAGTTTCACAAAGTGTTACACATGAACATTTTGTGCGGTACTCAGTATAGTCTTTTCCATGAGCCACAGCTTGAGACTATTATGCCCGTTTTGCAGATGAGGAATATAAGGCTCAGAAAGGATTAGTAATTTGTCTAAAGTCGTAAATACTTTATGTTAATTCTTTTTTAATGGAATTTATAGCCCACTTCTTGATGGACAGGATTTGAGCAGAATGGAATGAGAGAGTAGAGCCAGGATGAGAACCCTAGGGTCTGGGTTGCCTAACTCAGTACTCTGCTCTTGCCCTCCCTGTGTAGCGTGTGAGGCAGGTCTCTGGGTAGCATGCACTGCCTTTCACCAAATTCCAGATTCATTTATAGGGTCACATAAGTCCAGACTTTTCAGCAAACCATACTGGTTTCCTTCCGTCATATTCAGTTTGTTTTCTTCCACAACCCTTCTGAAACAGAAAGGAACTTTAGAAGAGTGGTTACGGAAAGGGACTCAGGCTCATTAACACATGGAATGTAATTATGCACAAATGTATTCATTACAGTATTTCAGCTGTTCGAATGATACAGACACAGCTAATTCCAAAGCATAAAGAAACAATTACCCTCAAAGTATAAATACAAATATTAATCACATGGTTCAGTTAACAAGAACCATATTTCTTGGTTAGAGTTTGAGTTATGTTTGAATGTTTGAATCAAAAGTCTGAGCTGAGTTTGGTGGTTTTTTTTTTTTTTTTTTTTTTTAGTCCAGTCACATGGCATACCAAACCATTTTGCAATGTTTTAAAGCACCTGTTGGATTTTGGTGTTTGAAATGTGTTCTTATTAAAAGTGACTTTGGGAGAGAATGATATGTAATTTACCAGTCTTGCAGCACTGGCCTATAGACTCCTAGTTTTCAGAGAGAGAAACGAATGGTGGGAGAAGAGGCTTAGTGTTTCTTGGTGCTCTTTGATGCAAGTTAGGGACAGAGTGCTAAAAAGCAATTAAGAAGTTGGGTATATGTAAAGTATAGGTGAAGAGTGGCAAGTGTTGAGGCTGGAGAGGTCTATAAGGGGCCAGATCATAAAGGGTCTTAACTTTATTGTGTGGGTGGTGCAGAGCCAGTGAAGGGTTTATATTTTAGACAGATCCTTTGGTGGCTGTGTGAAGGACAGATTGGAGTGAGGCAGGTTTGGAAGCAGGGAGACCTGTTGAGGGCTATGTGGTAGTCTTGGTGAGAGCCTCTGAGGGTCACACCTTGGGCATTGGTCATTTGGATGGGAGAAGACCAACTTGAAAATATCCAGGGGGTAAAAGTTGAATATAAATGGTGCTATACTTTGCATACCCCCCCCCCATTTTTGGCTTATACTTTTAGACATTGATATTTTTTCCCACTCAACATTGATTTTGAGATGTATCATGTTGTATGTGTAGATGTCGCTCATTGATCCTAATTGCTATGTGATGGCCATTGATGAGTAAACCTAATTTACTGATCCATCCCCCTTTTAAGGGAGAGATAGGTTTAGTTTCTCCTTTTTCCTCCTATCAGAAACAGTGCTTTACCAAAAATCCTTTTATATGAGTCCTTGTGTACATGTGCAAAAGATTTTTCCACTTAAGGTAGATTTCTATGAGCAGCATTGCGGATATATCCCTGAATATAAAGATCTCTTGAGTATATGAGAAAAAGACAGCAAAAAAAGTGGGTACAAAGGGCATGCATAACAGGCACTTTATAGAAGAGAACGTGAGAATGGTCAATAAATACAAAAAGATGTTCAATCTCACTGGTGCTCAGGAAAAAGAAAAGTTAAAGCAACACTGACGTACCATTTCAAACCCATAAGGTTGACAAGGATTAGTAGTAAATAGGAGAGAAGTGTCGTTTGAGTTCATGTGCTGGTGGAAAAGGACTATGAACTGGCATGACCTTTGTAGAGTGTTGGATGCGGTAAGAGCCCGTCAGGTGAGGGGACACCGCATCCCCGAGTCCCTGAAATTCCACTTCTAGGTGGTTACTCCAGAGGAACTCCCATACGGCGTGTCTGTTTTACTTAAAACTATCAGAACAGACCGTCCTACTTCATTTTTAAACTACCGAACCGTATTTCCTGAAAAGGAGGGACTGTGGATTATTTAAATGTCTCTTTATCGATAGATATGTAGGGTTTTTTTTTTTTTTTCTATTATTTAAACGAATGCAGTGCACATCTTTGAATATGCCTCTTTGGGCACATATGAACAGTCTTTCTGTTCTGATAAATACCAAGAAATGGCATAACTGGGCTGAAGGATAAGAACCTTTAAAATTTAAATAATGCCGAGTGAAAGAAGCCAGGCACAAAAGGCTGCCTATTATGTGATTCCACTTACATGAAATGTCCAGAATAGGCAAATCCATAGAGACAGAAAGTAGATTTAGTGGTTGCTAGGGGCTGGAAGGAGGAGGAAATCAGGACTTAACTGTTAAGGGGTATGGGATTTCTTTTTGGGGTGATGGAAATATTCTGGAATTAGATAGTGTTGATGGTTGTACAACATTTTGAATATCCTAAAAACCATGGAATTGTATGCTTAAAACGGTGAATTTTTTAATTTATCGGAATAAAAAACATTATGTTTGGCCAAATTGTCCTCTGAAAGTTTGTCCTAATTTAACAGCATATGAGAATACCTGTTTTACTATATCCTCATCAACAGTGGATGCTATCAGTCCTTCAAAATTTTTGCTAATCTGACAGAAAAAGAGGGTTTTTTTGTTGTTGTTTTTTTAAGTTTTCATTTCCTGATTACCGTGCGGGCTGAGAATCTTTTCACAGATATACTGGTGATTTGTATTTCTTTCCTCTGTGAATCAAGTGTTTACAGCTTGCCCATTTTTCTAGTGTATTGTTTATCTTTTTCTAATTGATTTATAGGAGCTCCATGTAGTATGGGTGTTAACCTTTTATCTTTTGTTACACATACCAGACTTGTCAATCTTTTTGTTTTGAGTGATTTTAGAATGGCTTCACCAACTGTTGTTATACACATGTCCTATATTTTGTTCTGGTATTTTTGTGGATTTTCATTTATAGGTTTGAATTTTTAATCCACCTGGAATTTAGTGGACTGGTGTGTAAGTAGGAATCTATTTATTCTATGTATGTATTGATCAAATCTTTTAAGTTTTGAGAAATCCTGTTCAGAGCATTTGGTCTAATTTTCCTCGTAGTTGGCGGAGGATAGTATTTCATATCCAGAAAAAGCCTCTCTTTAACCTAAGAATTGACTTCAAGAGTCCTTTAAATGGTGAACTCTCTTCTTGAATTTAAATTCAATTGGTTTATATCAGGGGTGGATCCAGGTTTTGTGGGGCCTGAAGTTGATATAACTTACGGGGCTTCTTTTCAATGCAAGAATACCAAATTGTGAATATAAAATTAGGGTCAAGCCCATGCAGGTGCAGAGACCTAAACCCGAACTTCATTAGCTTCAAAGTAAATTCAGTGCTGGTTATGTTATCAGACTGCATCTGTACATAGAGGATGAGGAACAGTCATCTCCATCTATGGAATGGTATGACTTTCTTTTATATTAACCAACTGCCACCCCTTAAGGATTTTCTCCTTCTTGGGGCATCTGGGTGGTTCAGCCGTTGGGCGTCTGCCTTCGGCTCAGGTCATGATCCCAGGGTCCTGGGATCGAGCCCCACATCAGGCTCCCTGCTCTGCAGGAAGCCTGCTTCTCCCTCTCCCACTCCCCCTGCTTGTGTTCCCTCTCTCGCTGTGTCTCTCTCTGTCAAATAAATAAATAAAATCTTTAAAAAAAAAAAGGATTTTCTCCTTCTTTTGTTTTTTAAAGAGACATTTGAGAGCAGACACACACAACAAGGTGGCTTTAAAGTTGTAAGTGGAGTTAGTCCAGTGGCAAAGTTCTTTAAGCAGGGTCTTTGCTGCCTCTGCATTGCTCAGATGTGTAACATTTGATCACTGAAGTAGCTGGGAGCTCAGTATGATAATGTGGGTCGTTAATCTCCTAAGCCTTTGAAACCTGAATTTACAACTTTAACTTTGCATATCTGCTTACTTCTGCATTTAGAGTTTGGTCAGCACCATTAAGAGGTTTGCAAATGCAACGAACAGGGCTTGCTTTAGCATCCTACCCCTTCAGAAATCACAGATGCAAACAGTAACCAATGTCATAAATAATGCAGAGGATAACACTAATACTGACATTTATAGTAAGCCAGGCAGTACGTAAAATGCTTCTCCAGATCATCTTCATCCTTGTCACCCCCTTACGAGGCAGGCACTTTTATGACCCTGGCTTTCCAGATGAGGAAGTTGAGAGAGAGGAATCCTTACTCAAGGCCTCAGAGGGATACCAGAGCAGGCCCCCCATTCAAAATCCTCTAAGACCAAAGTTCTCATGTGACAAATTAGGAAACAGACTCAGAGGTAATACAATCTGAGTTTTTGTCTTTTGGTATCAGGTTGTATTGAGTGCTATGTGTCAAGCATACTTTTGCAGTTTTTATGGATATTATTTCATTTAATCCCCTAAAAGTCCTATAAGGCAAATGCTGTTATTATCCCCCATTTAACAGATGAGAAAACCGAGACACAAAAATTTCCAAGGTCACAGCTAATAAGTGGAAGAGCTGGGACTGAACCTTTAGCAGCCTGTTCCAGAGTCAGGCTCCTACCTGTGTTCTGCAGCTACCTCCTGAGAGAGTGCCCATAAAACTCAGTCCAGGGCGGGGCTCCTGGGTGGCTCAGTTGGTTAAGCGACTGCCTTCGGCTCAGGTCATGATCCTGGAGTCCCGGGATCGAGTCTCGCATTGGGCTCCCTGCTCGGCAGGGAGTCTGCTTCTCCCTCTGACCCTCCTCCCTCTCATGCTCTCTGTCTCAAATAAATAAATAAAATCTTAAAAAAAAAAAACTCAGTCCAGGGGCGCCTGGGTGGCTTAGATGGTTAAGTGTCTGCCTTGGGCTCAGGTCATGATCTCAGGGTCCTGGGATTGAGCCCCACGTCGTAGGGCTGCCTGCTCAGCAGGGAGTCTGCTTCTCCCTCTCCTTTTGCCCCTCTCCCTGCTTGTGCTCTGTCTCTTAAGTAAATAAATGAAATCTTTAAAAAAAAATGAAAAAACTCAGTCCAGTTACTGACTCTTCACATCCTCAGGCCTTTGGGAGATCAAGAGAGGCCAGGTTCCTTCAGATTTTTTTTTTTTTAAGATTTTATTTATTTATTTATTTAATTGACAGGGAGAGAGAGACAGCGGGAGAGGGAACACAAGCAGGCAGAGTGGGAGAGGAAGAAGCAGGCTTCCCGCTGAGCAGAGAGCCCGATGCGGGGCTCGATCCCAGAACTCTGGGATCATGACCTGAGCTGAAGGCAGTCGCTTAATCAGCTGAGCCACTCAGGCGCCCCTCCTTCAGATTTTTTTAAATGAAGACATGCCTAGACAGGGGTATAGAAACTGTGGCATATTTTAAATATTTAAATTTGATGAATTAATTGCTTTAACACAAAAAATGATGTGGTACAGTTCCGCCATTTGAAAAATAATGATGAGATTTTTTTTTTTTTTAAATATTATAAAGATTTTATTTATTTGTCAGAGAGAGACAGAGAGAGCAGGAGAGCACAAGCAGGGGGAGTGGCAGGCAGAGGGAGAAGCAGACTCCCTGCTGAGCAGGGAACCCGATGCGGGACCGATCCCAGGACCCTGGGATCATGAGCTGAGCCGAAGGCAGATGCTTAACCAACTGAGCCACCCTGGCGTCCCTTTTTTTTTTTTTTTAAGATTTTATTTATTTATTTGACAGAGAGAGAAGAAGAGAGAGCACAAGCAGGGGGAGCAGGAGAGGGAGAAGCAGAATCCCCGCTGAGCAGGGAGCCCCATATGGGGCTCCATCCCCGAACCCAGGATCATGACCTGAGCCGAAGGCAGATGCTTAACCGACTGAGCCACCCAGGTGCCCCTAATGATGAGATTCTTTAAAAACATTAATTCATAGTGCTTTTTTAGTAGGGTGGTATGGAAATGAGGCACAGTTTAAAGTTGCTGATGAACATTGTTCAATCCCAAGAGACAGGCTTTGATTTTATATGTTTATAGTTTCTTCTAAAAAATGCCTTCATTTTTGGGGGTGCCTGGGAAGCTAAGTCGGTTAAGCATCTGACTCTGAATTTTGGCTCAGGTCATGGTCTCATGGTCGTGAGATTGAGCCCCGTGTTGGGCTCAGTGCTGGGCGTGGGGCCTGCATAAGATTCCTTCCCTCTCCCTTTGCCCCTCCTCACCTGGCGCTCATGCACACACTCTCCCTCTTTCTGAGAAAAAAAAAAAAAAGGATATAAAAATGCCTTCATTTTTTATTATTTCCTGGTCGGACTTAAGTTTTCTCGGAAAGAAAGGGATATTTTTTTCTTAAATCAGAAAATGAATTTCCAAGTTACTATCCATGAATGAATACATTAAAATACAGGGCCCATTTCTGGCCCCACTAGTCACTTGCTCTGTAGCAAAAATCCGTTAACCTTTTACTCGTTTCTTTGTGCAATGGGAATGACAACGTTGGCATCAGATTTCTCCAAAGTACTTTTCAGAGCCTGAATGAAAGGTATTAAAACTATTGCCTGCATTATTCCCAGCTCCCAACCTAGCAATTGGCTCCAATTACCAGCCACTTAGAAGGATTTGTAGGTAAGACTCTTATCACACATTGCTAATTACAACTTTCACAGTTGTGTTTTGTTATTTCTTTTCAAAAGCTAATGTTTTGGTAGTGACTGCTTTCTTCGTGGGTTAGAAAACACAGCTACGTTTCCATACAAACGTCACTTTTTTTTTTTTTTTTTTTAAAGATTCTATCCATTTATTTGAGAGACACAGCGAGAGAGGGAACACAGGCAGGGGGAGTGGGAGAGGGAGGAGCAGGCTTCCCGCTGAGCAGGGAGCCCGACGCGGGGCTCGATCCCAGGACCCCGGGACCGTGACCTGAGCCTAACGACTGAGCCACCTAGGTGCCCACAAACGTCACATTCTTTTTTTTTTTTTTTAAAGATTTCATTTATTTATTCATGAGAGACAGAGAGAGAGAGAGAGAGAGAGAGAGAGAAGCAGGCTCCCAAGGAGCAGGGAGCCCGATGGTGGGGCTTGATCCCAGGACCCTGGGATCATGACCTGAGCCGAAGGCAGACGCTCAACCATCTGAGCCACCCAGGCGCCCCAAACGTCACATTCTTATTAGCACATCACCCATCCATCCCTCACGGGATTATGCAGCTCTGTTCATAGATATAATCAGCTTTGTATTTTCATTCAAGGATAACAAACTAGCAAGGTTGAAATCTTGACTTGTCATCGGAACTGAATTGGAACTGAATTGCTCCCCAAGCTGGGAGGGGAGAAGACAGAGTCAAGCTCTGTTCAGAAATGGCAGTTGTCTCTAGAATCTTAATCGCTTGCCCTCCCTTTCTTCTCCTTCCAGTACGGTGACTATGACCCCTCTGTTCACAAGCGTGGATTTTTGGCCCAAGAGGAATTGCTTCCAAAAAGGGTAAGAAATCAATCCCCTGTTTGGGAAAACACAGCAGAGATGTGGTCTATGAAAAAGCTAACTGAGGGACTTGAAGGAATATTGGAAGTACACGGCGAAATCATTTAAATAAATATTTTGTAATCAATCTTGAATAAAGAATGTAGAATCTCTGTTAAACGTATTAGAAAGCAAAGGTACGTGGAGTTCGTTCACGGCTGCCAGAGCTAGCATGGCCTTGAATATTCATTTCCTTCAAGGTGGGTGAGTGCCAGTGAGTCCCAGGAAAGAGTGTGGAGCAACATGTGTTCAGCCCGGGGAGCTGAGCTGTTTGCAGCGGGGCAGGGTGGATAGAGATGAATTGGGGGTGGACATTGTAGTTTTTAATCCTTGGTGGTGTTCATCTTGTTCATTAGTCACAGAAGCAGGCCTTCCCTCCCTTTGGCTGCTCCCGATTTTATAGCTCCACTCATCTGTCATGTGAAATAAAGGCCTGCTTCTCACCTTTGCCTGACTTCCTCTGCTCCTTTGATGGCTTTTGTGCAGGAGGAAGCAGCACACGCCGCTTGGCCTAGCTCCTCCCGCTGGGACATGCAGCCCAGGAAAGAGGGGCCGCAGCTGGGCGAGGGGTGCACCCTTCTAAGTTGTGACTCAAATGGAATGGTGCTTGTTTACACGCCAACCCCTGCAATGTGACTGGCTCTCCCTGTATGTGGCTTTTTAAAAACAGCTTTGTTGTTTTAGTCTGATCTCAGAAGCTAAGCTTTGCTGTTTTGTAAAAATGAGGCATAATTATTAAAATGGCAAACAGTATCCAAACTTTCTTTGTGTGTGGGTTTTTTATTTTGCTCTATTTTTTGGTAGGTAATAAATCTGTATCAAATGACTCCAGAAATGTGGGAGGAGAGAATTACAGCCTGGTACGCAGAGCACCGGGGCCGAGCCAGGTGAGGCTGCTTTATTATCGGTTTACATTTCCGTATGGGCTTTTTTTTTTTTTTTAAAGAACTACAAATTAGGACATGCTTGTTGAACAAAAGGCAGTACTGAGGTAGATAGAAGGAAAAGGGAGAGCTGGGAGTAGCTGGTCTTCAGTTTTGCGTTTATCCTTCTTCCAGTGCCTGCAGTATAAGGAAGGCAGGAGCCAGCCTGCCCGGATGTACATCCCCACCGCATTCATTGGTAATTCAGTTTCACGTTAAGGATTAGAGTGTATGGATATCCCATAGCTTTTGTGTCCATTCCTCTACTGATGACATTTGGAGTAGCAATGGATTTTCGCTTCCTGCAGTATACAGTCTAATATTGTTATATAATTACATGAGTAGTTCTGAGGATTCATTCTTTGCAGGAGTTGCTGAGTCAAAGGATGTGAGCATTTTGCGTTGACAGGTGCCACTAAAGCGCCCTCCATAAGGGTTGTACCTATCTACCTGCCTACCAGCAGTGTATGCACATGTCTTCCCCCCCATTTCTCTCCCCAACACTCATTTTTATCAGTCTGATTTTTGTAATCTAAAAGATGAAATATTGTGTCTTAAGTATTTGTTAGCATTTTCCTGATCACTATAGGAATTAATCATCTTTTCGTTAGTCTTTAAAATATTGTCCTCTTCGGGCGCCTGGGTGGCTCAGTCGTTAAGCGTCTGCCTTCGGCTCAGGTCATGATCTCGGGGTCCTGGGATCGAGCCCCGCATCGGGCTCCCTGCTCCACGGGGAGCCTGCTTCTCGCTCTCCCACTCCCCCTGCTTGTGTTCCTGCTCTCGCTATCTCTCTCTCTGTCAAATAAATAAATAAAATCTTAAAAAAAAAAAAAATATTGTCCTCTTCTTCACATCAACTTCCTATCATGTGCTTTTTTAAAATTTAAGTAATATGTATACTGAAAAGTGGACAAATCATAAACGTACCGCTCAATGAATTATCACGTGAAAACACCATGTAACACCAGGTGACAAGATAGCACGTGACTCCCGCCTGCCATAACTCCCCATCCTTCCTCCCCAAAGCTAACCACTCTTCTGATCCCCAATTCCATAGAGTAGTGCCGGTTTTAAGCTTTACATAAATGCAGTGGGACAGTCTCTAGTTTTTGTGTCTCACTTCTTTTACTCAGCATCATATTGTGAGATTTGGGTTTGTGGTATGTAACAGCAGTGAAATTTTCGTTTTCATTGCTGTGCAGAACTCCACTATATTAATAAAGCATGAATTATCCATTACACTGTTGATGGACATTGAGGGCATCAGGGTGTCTCTTGGTTTTTGCTATTACAAATAATGTCAGTTTTTCAGAGTAATTGTACCAGTTTACATCAGCAGGGTGTGTGTTTTCTAGTTACTCCACATGCTTGCCAACACTGTGTGTTCTCTCAGGTTGAATTTTTTAAAATTCATTTGAGAGCATTTTGAGATTGGAGAGAGGGAAGAGGCAAGGTCATAGGGAGATCGAGTTAAAATATTTCAATAGTATATCTATTTGGGAGTTTTCTGCAAGTCATTGCTGCTTTAAGAGCTTACTTTAAATTTGACTCACAGCTTAGAAGTAGGTGACCTGGCTTAGGTTTTACAGCCCAGATAGCTCTTGGCCTAACCCCCGACAACACCCAAAGAAATAAAATCAGGAAGGTAGAGCTCTCAGGTAGCTTGCAGAGAGAATTGTTTCAATACCAAAACCTAGGTGAAGAAAGTTCACAAGCAGATAAAGCAACAACTTAAATCTGCATATCCAAATCCATTTGAGGGGAGAAGATAACATATCACGTCCTTTTCTTGAATTCCTTGAGCTGGGTGACATTATTTACCAAGGGCAAAGCGTGAAATTGAAGGCAAGAGACACTGTAATGAATCTATTCTCTGGCTTTTGTGGGGATGGGAAATTCTGCTTGACCTCGGAGTGTTTCATAGACTCAAGGCTGGGAAGAGCCGTGTTGGTATCTTGCCTGGCTGGTGACTTCCGGCGGGTTCCTACGCGCAGGTGGGTGTGCGCCCACCCTTTGTTTTCTCACTTAGCTCTGGTGACAGTGTCTTTCATTCTCCTCACAGGGATGAAGCTGAAATGGAATATTTGAAGATAGCTCAGGACCTGGAGATGTACGGTGTGAACTACTTTGCAATCCGGGTGTGTTGAATCCTCTTTGAGTTCCCTGTGTATAAACAGAGACTGAATCAGAGGCAGACTGCTAAAATGGGTTACTTCCTTATTCCAGATTGGCAGTCTCTTTAATGGTTCAGTGGAGGAGAAGAGAAGAGGAAGGGGAGAGGGTCTTATAGCCTCATTTTCTATTTTTGGACTTCAATTAGATCCTTGGTAATGAAGTGTCAGTTGAGCCCCCAGGGGGACTTGGGCCTGGTTCTGTGCTCAGCAGAAATCTGTTCGAATACTCTGAGTGTAATGTTTGATTATTTCTGGCTCTATGAGATCTGGCCCACAGGGAGTGCATGTAAATACTCTTCCCCCAGGGCACAAGGAGAGTAAAGCTACTTTTATAGATTCCTGATTTGTTTGGGTGGGTCTCTTGGTCTCACTAGCAGGCTAATTGGTTTTCTATTCAGACCATTAATAGTCCCACTGTCCTCTGGGAACCCACTGCTTCTGCACCAGAGGCTTCTGTTTTCAGTCTTGGCTGGGTGGGCTTCTTGAGCATCTTTCTCCTGAGGTTCTGCGGCTAGATGCCGCACCTAGGAGCTCCATCCAAAGGAATTCATGCCATTGGCTCAGGTATTCCACTGCTGGTTCCAAACTGCAGATAGGTAGATGTTAAACAATACCCACAGTGGCCCACCTTTTTTTGGGGGGGGGGGGAGGGGGAGAGAGCATCTTAAGCAGACTCCATGCCCAGCGTAGAGACACAGGGGGGAGGGGGGAGCTTGATCCCAGGACCCTGAGATCATGACCTGAGCCAAAAACAGTCAGACGCTTAACCAACTGAGCCACCCAGGTGCCTCAGTGGTCCACCTTTCACAGTTTGCTTTCCTTTTTTGGGTTCCTATAAATTTTGTATGTGGGGCACCTGGGTGGCTCAGTTGGTTAAGCATCTGCCTTCAGCCCAGGTCATGATCCCAGGGTCCTGGGATCAAGCCCTACATTGAGCTCCCTGCTCAGCTGGGAGCCTGCTTCTCCCTCTCCCTCTTCCTGTTGCTCCCCTTGCTTGTGCTCTCTCTCTCTCTGATAAATAAATAAATAAAATCTTTAAAGACAAAAAGATTTTCTATAATAATTCAAAGGTTATTTTCTTAAGTTTTATTAATTTCTATTTGCTAATTGTCTGGTTTGTTTAAGATCAGGCTAGTTTAACACATTTCTGTGGTTTTGGCAACATAACTCCTCTTGGCCCATATGCCCACCATCTAGATTCTAGAAAAGTAGTATTTTACAGTCCTTAAAAAACAGTTTCTTACTAGGAAATATTTCTGCAGCAGTCAGACTAAAATACACAATTGTGTGTGTGTTTTGTGTTACACAGTAGACACAGATAATGGATATTTTAGTGTCTTTTGTGTTCAAGTTCCATCAGCTAAGGAAATTATGTGCTTAAAACAATTTAAAAGAGACTGCTTGAGTCCCGCCGCTCTCTGTTTATTCTCTAGAAGTCATGATAGGAAGCAGAGGGTAGAATCCTTTCTTCTTTTTTTTTTTTAATTTAAACTAGTCACAAACATAATGAAATATCTCGTTTTCCAAAATGTTCTGTAGCACTTAAAAGTACAAAGCCTCACTTATGTTAATGCAGTAATTTTAAGAGCTTTGCAGACAAACAGAGGAATCTCTCTCAGGGTTTGGTAATAGCGCCTGACTTGGGAAGTGTTCAAGGGACTAAGATTTATCTTGGAGCACTCACTTGTCCACCTGACACCTGCTGTTAGATTGGTCCTTCTCGTCACAGTCTGAGCACCTTCTCGGTTTGCAGACCTGTTTTGCTGCCCTTGAATCTGGTTCGATTTCCTAGTTGTCAGCAACGGGTCAGGTGCTTTGGGTCCTTATGCAGGGAGTTTCCTTCCACCACTACACAAGCGCAGGGGCATGGGCCTCCAGCCTGAAGATGTAGCTCTAGGCCCTTAGCTGGGTCAGTGACCTGAGGGCCAAGGGCACTTTGCCCTCTGTCTACTCTGACTGCCAACCAACATATGTGCAATCAATTAAATTTTCAGACAGTTTTATTGAGGTATAATTTATTTTTTTAAAGATTTTTTATTAGAGAGAGAGTGGGGGGTGGTGGGGAGGGCAGAGGGAGAGGGAGAGAATCTCAAGCAGCTTCCCACTGAGCACAGAGCCCGAACTGTGGCTTGATCCCAGGACCCTGAGATCAGACCTGAGCTGAAACCAAGAGTCGAATGCTTAACCAACTGAGCCACCCAAGCACTCCTAGGTATAATTTATATACAATTCATTTTGGTATATTTTTTCCAACATCCTATTATAATAATTTCAAACATATAAGAAAGTTGAATTTCACAGTGAATATCCATATATACCCACTGTCTAAGTTCTATAATTAACATTTTACTATATTTGCTTTATCACACTGAGAATACATTTTAACATAAAATAAAACCATTTGATCGCAGCACTTGGAATTTTCTTTCTGGTGGGGCGCCTGGGTGGCTCAGTCGGTTAAGCATCTGACTCTTGATCTCAGCTCAGGTCTTGATTTCAGGGTTATGAGTTATAAGCCCCGTGTTGGGCTCCACTCTGGGCATGGAGCCTACTTAAAAAAAAAAAAAAACAACTTTCTGGTAGTACAACTACATTTTCTTTTAATGTAAGAGATGTTTAATTCTACAGGTCTTTTTTCTTTCTTCTTTTTTTTTTTTAAGATTTTTATTTATTTGACAGAGACAGAGAGCGAGAGCAGGAACACAAGCAGCAGGAGTGGGAGAGGGAGAACAGGCTTCCCGCTGAGCAGGGAGTCTGATGTGGGACTCGATCCCAGGACCCTGGGATCATGACCTGAGCCCAAGGCAGACGCTTAATGACTGAGCCACTCAGTCACCCTAATTCTACAGGTCTTTTTTCTACATGTATGATAACTCTTATCCACAGGAGTACCTTTCCAAGGCCCCCCATGGATGCCTGAAACCATGAATAGTACCAAACCCTGTATATACTATGTTTTTTTTCTTATATATGTGTACCTGTGATACGTTTAATTTATAAATTAGGCACACTGTAAGAGATGAACAATAACAATAAAAAAGAAGTTGTAACAGTATAAAAGTCACGTGAACATGTTCTTTCTCTCTCAAAACATCTTATTGTACTACTCACCCTTCTTAGAATGATGTGAGATGATAAAATGTCTATATGATGAGATGAAGTGAGGTGAATGACTTAGGTGTTGGGATGTAGGGTTAGGCTACACTAGGGACCTGACAGTGGTTCAGAAGGAGGATCGTCTACTCCCAGACCTTGGTAACTGAAACCGTAGAAAGCAAAACCACAGATAAGGGGGGCGGGTGACGACTACTGTATTTAATTGGAGGTAACAGTGCTTAGATTGCTGCTACTTTAGCCATCGAGCCAGTAACAGAAAGCCCCAGTGATCCCTCTGGGACACGAGTCATGCGAATGGTATTTTGCCTCTGCCTGCCCCAATTCAGGAAGCTGGAGGCCCCCTGGGTTACATAGCCACTGTGACTTCTGTTGGGACCTACTGGAACTTGTCACATGTAATAGTGTGTGCCAGGTTCTTTGGGAAGTTGAATAAAATCTCAAACCTCCGCTGGAGCTGACGGTGGCTGATCTTTGTTGAATCTACAGAATAAAAAGGGCACAGAGTTGCTGCTTGGAGTGGATGCTCTGGGCCTTCACATCTATGACCCTGAGAACAGGCTGACCCCCAAGATCTCCTTCCCATGGAATGAAATCCGAAACATCTCATACAGCGACAAGGAGGTAGGACGTGCTTCGCATGCAGACCCACCAGCAGCGCAGCTTGCGGGCTTTCCCTGTCTCTCCTCCTTGCTGTAGTGGTCCCCAGCCAGACTGCTCCTTGTTACCAGTAAAATCCTTTAATCCCCAGGCTTTGGGTTTGGGGTTGTTGTTTTCCGTTTACAGAACAGTATTGGCAGCCTATTTTCAGATGGCATCGCTAAACACCCCCCTGCTGACTAACAAGAGGCTGGGGAGCTCAGCTTGTCCAGACGAGCCTCCAAAGAATAGTAAACAAACCAGAAAGTAACCTTTTCCTATTACTTGCCTTTCTATTTCTAGTGAGAAATTCTCTTTGTATTTTTTTTTTTTTAAGATTTTATTTATTTGACAGAGAGGGCAAGATAGCGAGAGAGGGAACACAAGCAGGGGGAGTGGGAGAGGGAGAAGCAGGCTTCCCGCTGAGCAGAGAGCCTGATGTGGGGCTCAATCCCAGGACCCTGGGATCATGACCTGAGCCGAAGGCAGATGTCTAACGACTGAGCCACCCAGGCACCCCTCTCTTTGTATTTTTAAGTGTGGTGGACATTAAGCCCTCTCTCACTATCCAGTGCTTGATACATGTGGTGGGGATATCTATCTATTTATCTCCCTATATATGTGTGTGTGTGTGTGTGTGTGTGTCTCTCTCTCTCTCTCTCTCTCACAGTGATGATATAAATAAGGATATCAGAACTAACTACTTGTGAGAATTTGAGAATAACTAAGTTTGAATAACTTGGCTGAACACTCTAAGTTAGAAGTCAGATATTTCTAGGGATGCCTGGGTGGCTCAGTCGGTTAAGCGTCTGCCTTTGGCTCAGGTCATGATCCCAGGGTCCTGGGATCGAGTCCTGCGTCAGGCTCCTTGCTCCGGGGGGAGCCTGCTTCTCCCTCTGCCTGCCGCTCCCCCTGCTTGTGCTTGCTCGCTCTCTCTGACAAATAAATAAATAAAATCTTAAAAAAAAAAAAAAGAAGAAGTAGTCAGATATTTCTATACAGGATGGTGACCTTTCCCAAACACTAATCTTAGGTTCATTCGTTCACTCGTTTGTTCTTTGTTGATTTTTTTTTTTTTTTTAAAGATTTTATTTATTTGACAGAGACACAGTGAGAGAGGGAACACAAGCAGGGGGAGTGGGAGAGGGAGAAGCAGGCTTCCCGCCGAGCAGGGAGCCCAATGAGGGGCTCGATCCCAGGACCCTGGGACCACGACCTGAGCCGAAGGCAGACAGTTAACGACTGAGCCACCCAGGCACCCCTGTTCTTTGTTAATTTTAAAGGAATTATCAAGCATCTGCTTTGTGTTAGGTTTCGTGGGGGAAACAAAGATATAGAAAATCCAGTCTCACCCCTCAGAGAAGTTATAGTCAAGCAAGGCCCCGACTGCTGTAAGACAGGCCTACAGTGCAAGGGACTGATGATGCACGTGATGATGACCCATTGCATTTCCGCTTTTCCACATAGGAGTGCTCTCACCCCAACTCTGATTCCCTCCTCCTGAGAACATGCAGCAAGAGTAGGGGCCAGGTTTGGGGTATCTGTGCCACATCAGGAAGTGGAGATGCAGAGGAATCAGGTTAGCTGTGATCGGTGAGGGGAGCTCCACGTTCCCTGAAGTCATAGCTGGGGCGGAGGGGGGGGAGCTTTTCCGGTAGCGGGTACAGAGGGTGAGTCCTGAGGGCAGAGGGCAGAGGGCAGCGGGCCCAGACGGCGCTCAGTGACGTACTGGTGCCCACACAGTTGGGATGCTGAGTGTCGAGTAAGGAACAGTGACAGCTCATGTGGTTGCCTGCAGAGCCCCCACCTGGAGCAGATTTCCTGTTTTCCCTTCCCAAATAGCAACTTGAGAAAGGGAACCCCAAGCTCTTGGTTTCCAATAACGTGGTTGAGATCTCCTTGGCCATGCTTGATGAGACAGATTGAGCTTCTTAATTCAAAACATTCTGGCTCTCAAGTTTCTATAGCCCAGAAGAGGAGCACTTAGGTATTTCTTTTTTAAAGTACTTCAGTTGAAAGCTCCACATGACTTAAAGCAGCAGGTGTGCTGTGGAATGGTAGTTTGTCATCTCTAATTTCATAAAGTCTGTTTACTGCATATTCGTGTATTTTTGTGTGCTAAAGGCTCCCCAAACATTCATTTTTCACAGAACTCAAGGATTAAAGTCTCCCCTAGTATGGCCTGACACAATAAACTCTAATATACCCTCTCCAGGGGCAGGGCACCGTCATGTTCCATCATGTTCCATCATGTCAATAACTCATGCAGTAAGAGGACCTCAAGCTGACTTGACATAATAGGAAGTAGTCTTAGTAGTTATGCATGACAGCCGTGCTGTCAAAACAGAAATGTTGGTTTATTTTAAGTGATCCATTGATTCTTTGTGCGCGTCCCGGCACAGCACAGAGCCTGTGGTTTCCCCACTACTTGTGGTTTCCCACTGACAGCTCCAGGGTTTGACTTAAGAGCCAAAAATAAGTTCATGAAATTCACAAGTAGCAGCCTACACAAGAGCAATAGTGCTTCTAAGTTAGCTTGACCAAAAGCTAACCGAAGGATCATTTCCTCATTGTGCTAACTCCTCCTCGGACAAAATAACATGCAAAAGAAATACCCAAGAATTTATCTTCCCAGATGTATTTATCTGCTTAGCACATCTTTCTCGGGAATGGGTACCCCATTTTTTAAGTGCATCTTTGAAATGGAGGATCTGTCTGGTCTGATCAGGAATGGTTGAGAACAGCAGTTTCCATTTGCTCTTTATATGCTTCCCTGCCTAGCGGTCTGGCCCTGGGGTCACCTACTTCGCTACCACCCTGTCCTTATTCAGCTTTCTCTCCCCTTTGATCAGGAACTGTTTCCCTCTTCTACCACAGTCTGTTCTTCTTCACACTTTATTCCTTTTATTAACAGCTTTCAGCTGATAATCCCCATGTTCAGAACCCGGAGTGATGATCTATATGCTGCCACATCAAACCCCAGCCCCTCTGACTGTCCACCCCCAGCCCACCCCTGCCTTCCTCCCAGTCTGAGCCCATGATACCATCTTAGTCGTCAGAGGGTTAATAATGTCAAATACACACAAACACACACAAACACACACACCCCTCATTTCTGTTACTTGCCCTGTCCTGAATCAGAGGGTTAATAACGTCAAACACACACACACACACCCGCTCATTTCTGTTGCTTGCCCTCCGGAATGGCCCTCTGTCCAACCTTTTAGCTTCCCTGTCGTACTCTTTGTCTATGACCAGCTGAAGTTCCCCTCCTACTTACGGTAGATCGATGCTGAACCCCCATGACATTTGTGATTTGTTCCGCCCAGTGAGACACTAATAGATGGTGTAATTTCTCAAGTAACTGACTGTCATTAATCTAGTTCCGACTAGGTGGTGAGCTTCCTGAAGGCAGAACTGGGCCTGTGTCTTTGCAGCGGGCTTCCCAGTGTTGGCCTCACTGTGGGGCCCATTGAAGGCTGGCATTTCAGGTTTCCAAGCCTAAGATGGTACTGACAACACACCTTCCTGGATCCTGAACCTCCACAGCCCGAGACTTGGCGCTCTCAGCCACTTATAATTCACTGTGGTTTAGTGCCTGGGCACCAGGAAGCCAGGACAAGGCACAGCCTCGTGCTGGATCTTTGTCAGTGTGGTTGCTGCTTTTGTGGAATTTCCCAGCTGGTGCTCACACTCTAGGCTGTCAGACTGAAACTGTTTTCTGCTTCCTTCTTTCAGTTTACTATTAAACCATTGGATAAGAAAATCGACGTCTTCAAATTCAACTCCTCAAAGCTTCGTGTTAATAAGCTGGTAAGTTGAGATCCTGATTTTTGTAACTGATAACTGTAGTTTTTCTGAGAAACTGAGCACCTTTTCTGAGAGAGTATCAGAGTAATTTCTTGTGAGGTGTAGAATGATAGCTCACCTGCTACACGCTTTGCCAATAGACCTTGAAAGACTCTTCCCTTTAGCTTAACCTAGCGAGTCAAACCTAAATTTTGTGCTGTGGAATTAAAAAAAAATTATTTTTATGGAGGTACCTTATACATACAAAAGGATAAGGATAATGTGTATTAGGTATAAAGAAGGGCAAAAATAAACATCTACGTACCCACTACCCAGCTTTAAGAAATAGCACACTTCCAATACTATTAGAACCCCTCATGTTAGCATTCTGCTGGCTTCCCCCACCCGCCTCCCCAAGGGTGATCACCATTCTGAGCTGTGTGCCTATAATTCCTTTGCTTTTCCTCAGAACTTGACTTCATATATAGCAAAATGAATATACTATTAAGTTTTGTGAACTTTCGGAATTTACCAACTGCTGTCAACTGTCTGTGTTCTTTTTTTTTTAAGACATTATTTTCTTTTTCTTTTTCTTTTTTTTAATGTTTTATTTATTTATTTGACAGAGAGAGACACAGTGAGAGAGGGAACACAAGCAGGGGAAGTGGGAGAAGTAGAAGTAGGGTTCCCGCTGAGCAGGGAGCCCAACGGAAGCTCAATCCCAGGACCCTGGGATCTTGACCTGAGCCGAAGGCAGACGCTTAACGACTGAGCCACCCAAGAGCCCCAGGACAACATTATTTTCTGAGATGTAGCTATGTTGATGCTTCAAGATATGATCCCTTTATTTTTATTGCTATATAGTATTCCTTTTGTGGATATATGTGTGTTTGTGTGTGTGTGTGTATGTGTACTTGTCATTTTCCTATTAATGAATAATTAAGTGCTTTCTACTTCTCTGCCATTTTAACAAGGCTGTTGTGAACATTCTTGTACCTGCCTCCGGCTGCACACATGTAATAGGTTCTCTCGAGAGTATCTGCTTAGGAGTACAGGTACAGGGCTGTAGTGTATGTCCAGATTCAAGATTACACCGTGTTGTTTTCCAAAAAAAGGTGAGTTAATTGACAGAGCCAATGCAATGGGTGCAGCTTCCTTTTGTTTGATATCTTCCACGCTTTTATCATCAGCCTTTAAAATTTTCTGTCACTCTTGTGCATATGAAATGGTATGTCGGGGTGCCTGGGTGGCTCAGTCGTTAAGCATCTGCCTTCGGCTCAGGTCATGATCCCAGGGTCCTGGGATTGAGCCCCGTGTTGGGCTCCCTGATCAGCAGGGAGCCTGCTTCTCCCTCTCCCAGTCCCCCTGCTTGTGTTCCCTCTCTCGCTGTGTCTCTCTCTGTCAAATAAGTAAATAAAATCTTTATTAAAAAAAAAAATGGTATCTCAGTGTCATATTAATGTGCATCTTTATATTTACTAATGAAGTTGAACATCTTTTTTAATATTTTTGACCAAGCTTATTGTCTCTCTTTTTTTAAAATTTAAATTCAATTAATTAACATAAAATGTATTATTTGTTTCAGGGGTACAGGTCTGTGATTCATCAGTCTTATATAATACCCAGTGCTCATTACAACACATACCCTCTCGAAACTTACTGTCTCTTTTGTCGAACACTTGTTTCATTTCCTTTGGTTAGTATTTTCTGGGTGGTTTGTATTCTTTATTAGTTATATCTTCTCCCAGCTTGTGGCTTATTTTTCCTCCCTTTTTAATGTCTTAACAAAGAATGTTTGATTTTAATATAGGCAAATATATACATCTTTTCCTTAATCCTTTGTACTGTTTGTGTCTTGTTTGGCATTTTTTTAAATCCTATGATCATAAAGATATTCTTCTATATTCTCTTCTAAAAATTTCAAGGGTTCAATCTTCGCATTTAAATCTTTAATCCTTCTGATTTTTGTGTACAGTGTAAGGGAGGGATCCAGTTTCTTTTTTTCCACGTGAATAACCTGTCGTCCCAGCCTAACCTATTGAACAAGCTTTCCTAGCCTCTCTGATCTGCAGAGCCACATCTTAACTTAGGAGAATGAGATGCATCCAGAAGACATGCCGAAGTGTCATGTTTCTCTCCTCACGTGTAATTTTTGCCCCCCGGCACACTTGAGGCACCTCGTTTTGCCTGTCTTTGGGGGAGCACTGGAGGACGTTAGTAGGGAGGGCCTTGGTGTTTCACGCTGTGCTTTACTTCTCAGGTTTCCTGCTGCCCCCAAGAGCCCTGAGACCAAGATGCCATAGCGCTGGTGAGCTGGTAGGCAGTGAAGTAAATTTGTGGGTTTAACATTTCCACTGCTTCCAACCACAGATTCTCCAGCTCTGTATCGGGAACCATGACCTTTTTATGAGGAGAAGGAAGGCTGATTCTTTGGAAGTTCAGCAGATGAAAGCCCAAGCCAGGGAGGAGAAGGCTAGAAAGCAGGTGAGCAAGACCATGTCAGAACCACTGTTGTCGCTGAGTCGTGGTCTTGGCCTTGGAGGTAAGCAGCGATCGTGGGCTGACAGGTGTCATTTGGCTATGGATACACCTTCTCTTATTTTATCTCTGTTGGATCTTTACTGGCTGATGCCCAGCCGGTGGGGTGTCCGCTCTGGAAATGAGTAATAAACTCCAATAGCATATGTAAAAGAAACATCTCTAGTTATTTCCCCATCTAAGTAAGTGAAGTGTGATTAATGCAGGCTTGGGAAGTGATAGACAAGCCTGTGTCCATCCATCTGTCCGTCCGTCTGTCCATCCATCCATCTATCAATCCATCCGTCTGCCTGTCTACCTAGCTAGCTCGCTTTCTTTTTGCCTGCCTGTCTCCTTTGCCTGGCCTTGTCCTTTTCCTAATTAGATGGTGATAGAATGCACGGCAGCGTCTCGTGCTTGCTGTGGGAATGCTAATTAGACTCCGGCCGCACTTCCCCGCCACAGGTCAGCCCAGGCGGCATAGTGCCTGCGGTGGGAGGTGCCGCGTGCGCTCATCAGCAGACTGGACAGTCCGCATCGTTGTTTTCTACTCATAAACCATGTTGACTCACCGAAACTCACACAACTAATCTGAGCCTCACTGCTGAGACTATCCGCTGTGGTTTTGGACCAACTCCTAGATGGAGTAGCAGCAGTTGCCCCTCAGGACTTGCAGGCTCAGAGGTGTAATCGTTAGTCTGTGTGCAGCTCTCTGATGTGGGGACTCCCTGAGATTTGGAATGAAATGCCGTTTGATCCAGCATGCTTTTGGCGTTCCGTCCCTTTGCGCTCTGAGACAGCAGACTCTTTGGGCTGCTTTGGGGGCCACGGTGGTGGAATGGGTTTTCTTGGACAAAGAAATACTCCTGAGCCAGCACGAGTCTAAGTGGCAACTTCAAGAAGAGCCTTCTTTGACCTCTTTTCAGCCGAACAAAACTTAGAAGTGAGAGATCTGAAAGCGGCAATGAGCGCGTCAGCCTCGGGGCTGTGGCAGAGAAGAGCATGTGCACACCCCCAACCTGCACTGCCTGTAGAACAGCAGAGACAGGTCCCTGGCATCTGGCAGGCCAGTGGCTTCATGGCCCAGTAGTAGTACAGACACTGCCCTTAGAGCCAGATGTGAAACTTAGTATGTGACATTAGTAAATGACTTACCTTCCAGACCTCAGTTTTCTCATCTGTCCAGTGGAGCTAATGGTATGTCTTCTCTGTCTCAGATCAAAGGACACATTGCTCCTGAAAGCCTTTGTGAGCTGAAACCACCTTGCAAACAGGAGGCCCCTTATTTACTGGGTGGAGGTCTCAGGGAAAGTGCAGTGCTGGGAACAGAAGGTGGTTGCCTGGGCTTTTTTCAAGTGGAGCATAATGGAGATACAGTAATCTTCTTAATGGAAATTGTAATGCAGTGGAAATTAGAGAACAAATTGGCCAAGCTTTTCACTGACCTGTAAGAGGAAAATTGGAGAAGAATTTACAGTATTTTATTGCTTGTCTTTGCATTATTCCTTCGAGGCCCAATGCCTTTTTTTTTTTTTTTTTTTTTTTGGCTCAGTATTTAGAAAAGGCAGCAGTCTTAAAAATCTTTTGTTTGGGAGAAGATTGAAGCAAGAAGTAATTAAATGTGCTCTATTTGAGGAAGAAAATAGTGCAGTGGTCACTTCTGGCTTCTGCTTTCTGAACTTAGTTAATACCTGAAGATCACAGAGAATAAATAGCACTTGTCCTATGCTTGTTCCCCTTATTAAGCTCTGCATGTGGCCCAATTAATACAGTGATCCAGAAGGCAGGGTCGGCGGCGGCTCTGTACTGATGCCTTAAGGACGGGAGGAGGAGGGGGCTGCGTTCCCTGCTCAGCTCCCTCCTGTCGCTGGCCTGGCCGGGAGTCGCCTCTGCGTGAGGCTGGGTCCCTGTGCAGTGGTGCTGCGGCCCCCCTCCCCGTGACACACAGTGTGTGAACCCCCGACGCCTCGCAGAGAGCCGTTCATCTATCTCCGTGGGTCAGAGGCAGGAGCAATTGTGGAGGAAAGTGGAGGTGTGGGAGGGGTCCGCGTGGTTGAGAAATGGCAAGGTGGCTCGTCCAAGCAGAAGAGAGCTGTCTGTTTCTGGGGCTGCGTCTCAGGGAGAAGGAACCTGCATTGTGTGCGGTCAGTCGCAGGGCAGAGGCACGTGAGGTCTTGCAACGCAAAGGGTTATTGGCAGGGTGGCCATTTCAGCACATGGTGTGTAAGAACGCCTCCTTCGATCCAGGTAGACTTGGCAGGGCTTGCTTTTTTGTTTTGTTTGTTACCTCACCTCTAGATGTTTTTTCACGGGACACAGCTGGTTTCGGAGGGCAGAGGGAGGCGGGTGACAAGAATGACACTGGCAACCTAAAGTAAAGGGGAGAAAAGAGGGTCTCCTTGCAGGACTCAGGACACTGGGCGTTCTCGGGCCCCTGTGGCACTGTAGGCCGTGGGTCCCATGACTCAGTGGCCACTGTTGTTGCCCCCAGATGGAGCGACAGCGCCTTGCTCGAGAGAAGCAGATGAGGGAGGAAGCAGAGCGCACGAGGGATGAGCTGGAGAGGAGGCTGCTGCAGATGAAAGAAGAAGCGACAATGGCCAATGAAGCTCTGGTGATTGCTGGGGGCGGTGCTGGGCCCCTGGAGGCTACACGGGCACTTGCATGGATTTCAGGACTTAGGCCTCCCGAGGACGACCTCAGATTAGTAACATATGCTTTGACATTTCAGCTTAAAAAAAAAAAATCAGTGCCTTTTCTTTCCACCTGTGTTGGCAGAGGCAGACTCTGGTGGAGTTCATGTGCAGCCAAGCCCCACTTTCACGGGGGCTCGCCTTTAAAGCAGGACTTCTCAGCTGGCACTGGGGCCAGATCACCCTTTGTGGTGGGAGCCATCCTGTGCATCGGAGGATGTTTAGCAGTGTCCCTGACCCCTACCCACTAGATGCCAGTAGTACCACCTCCCCCCCCATTTGTGACAATCAAAAATGTCTCCAGGCATTGTTACCTGTCTCCCAGGGGGGCAAAGTCTCCGCTGGTTTAAACCACTGATTTAAAAGGAAAGAAGGTAGGGCGCCTGGGTGGCTCAGATGGTTAAGCGTCTGCCTTCGGCTCAGGTCATGATCCCGGGGTCCTGGGATCGAGTCTCGCATCGGGCTCCCTGCTAGGCGGGGAGCCTGCTTCTCTCTCTGTCTCTGCCTCTCTCTCTCTCTCTCTGACTCTCATGAATAAATAAATAAATAAAAACATTTAAAAAAAAATAAAAGGAAAGAAGGTAAAGTTGGTTTTCTCCCTCATAAAGCATTTGCCTCAGCTCAAGTGGATAGTCAGAAAAGTGCTTTCTTCTTGCTTCCCATGGGCAGAACCCAAAGGGCCTTTCCAAAAAGTTGAGGGTGTGGCTTGTCATCCCTTGCCCGAGTGTCATCTGACGAGACATTCAGGGCCCCAGGGAGTCTGAGATTCTGGTTCTCACTGACCTGAGTGTCTGAGGCCAGATCTGGGTGGGAAGATGGGCATGTGATCCCCATCCCAGCTGACAGCGCTCTTCTGCAGATGCGGTCTGAGGAGACGGCTGACCTGTTGGCAGAAAAGGCCCAAATCACAGAGGAGGAGGCAAAACTCCTGGCACAGAAGGCCGCAGAGGCTGAACAGGAAATGCAGCGCATCAAGGCCACAGCCATTCGGACAGAGGAAGAGAAGCGCCTGATGGAGCAGAAGGTGCTGGAGGCCGAGGTGCTGGCGCTGAAGATGGCGGAGGAGTCAGAGAGGAGGTTAGAGGTGGGGAGTCCTGGGCACTGGGGCTCAGGCGAGGGGCTGTTCAGTCGTAACCTGGCTCTGAGGCAGAGCTTGACTGCATGTGTCCGCAAGCTTCTTCCCCATCTTCTGGGGCAGCGGGGAGGCTCTTCCTTTGACAGGTTGGTGGTGAGGACTGGTACTTAAGCCAGTGTGGGGTTTGGGGGCTGGAATTAGTGGAAAGGCTCAGGAACACAGTTCTGTTGTTGAGTGGATCTCTGGTCATGCTTGTGCCTGTGATAAACTGCCATCCCTCTGATAGCCGTGTTTGCAGGAAAGCCATCAAGCCCGGCCTCAGACTGCTCTTAGCTGAGGAGCTATAAGGAGACTCTTCTTACGTTTAAAAAATATGGTTCTTTTCCCTTTTCATTTAGGGGACATGTGGGGAGACAGCAGCTATTTACCTTTAACGAAGTAAGGAGGAACCGCTTCCCTGCAGCCCTTCTTGGCGCTAAGGCTCCTGAGGCAGATAGGAGGGGAGGGCCAGGATCCTCTTTGTGGCCAGCTCACGACCAGGTTGAAGGATGGAACTGTAGGCTATACTTTCCAAAGACTGTTCTAGGCTTGGGATTGTTCTGGTCCTGCAGCCTTCAGATAAACACTGGCACATTCCCCACAGCATTTGGCTCTGTTGATTTAGAACACTTGAATTTGCTTTTTGCTACCAAGGTGCATTCACTATAGTTTCCTCTCTGCTTTTTGCATGTCATTCTGGGAATATGGTTCTTTGTTTCCTGCCCTGTCTCGGGCCCCTTTCTTTCTGTGTGCAGGTCACTTCCCCTGCTGACTGATGCATGTTAGGCCGGGCCCCCTGGGTCCTGTGTCTTGCAGGGTGAAGTGCGAGACCCTCAGCGTTGGTGCTCGTCTTCTTGCCTGAGGTTGGCCCCAGGCCTGCAGTTGTTTTACTTGGGGGCTGTGAAGAATCAGTTCTCTCACATCCTGCCCTTCATGATCCAATATAAGACCTTTGATCCACCGTACTGTACCTCGGCCCAGCCCACTCTCACCCAGAAGTGAAGCAGAGGAAGCTGCTAGCCCCTCCCCCACTTCTCCTCCCCATCTACCAACTGCAAAGGTTTGAACTTGACTCCTGCCCACTGGCTTCCCTGCTCTTCCGTTTAGATTTACCATTGCAATGAACAGCACTCAGGAATGTTGTCCTTGCTTTGGAAGTTCTGATTTTCACATAAATGCCTCCCCCCCAGCCACTGGCCTTGTTTGCCTGATCTGGTGCCATCCTCAGGGTTAACCCACGTCCCTCCTGTCTAGGGGGATAGTGGGTAAGAGGGCTCTCTTTCCTCCACCTGTCACCTTTGTGGAGCTAACTGGCTCCTCCTTTCCTTGCAGGGCCAAGGAGGCAGATCAGCTGAAGCAGGACCTGCAGGAAGCCCGTGAGGCAGAGCGAAGAGCCAAGCAAAAGCTCCTGGAAATCACCACCAAGCCCACATACCCGGTGAGCCTGGCTGGGGGCTGCTGGCCTGCAGCTGCTTCAGACCTCATAGCCTTCTCTTCCCTCCCAGCCCTTCCGTTCCCTTGGTGGTGCCACGGCAGAGTGAGTGCTGCTTAGGGCCTGTGGCTGGGGACTGGATAGAACGCTGGTCTGCCATTTGGCCTCGGACAAGTCACTTCTCCAGTTGCTTAGATAATAGATAGCAGGGCCTTTCCCAGCTCTGAAATGTTTTTCTTATTCTAAGTAATAATAGTCCCAAATTATCCTCAAGAGAGGATAGCCTCTTGATACCACACTGAATGTAATCTTCAACTACCTGTGTATACCATATACCGTTATTATAGTTCTGGCAGGGGTACCCCGTGTCCCTCAGAGTGAACTATTGCCACAGAAGAACCAGCTTCCAAACTCAATTTTGGGACGAGGAGGCAGACTTCAATTACACAGGGTCACACAGTGAATAGAAAAGTCTCTTTCCTTCCCTTCCTCTGTGCATTCAGTTCAGCAAACCGTTCTGGTCCATGTAATACCAGGCAGATGCAGAGTCTGTATTCAGAGAGGGTGCACAGGGGCCTAGAGGAGAATGTAGCCCAGCCTGCAGGGGCAGGAGAGGCATAGGATGGCACCTGAGCTGGCTCTTAAAGGGTAAGTCGGAACTAGCTAGGTGGGAAAGAGACTGTGGGGTATTCTCAGCCAACCCACAGATGGGCGCCTGGCGCAAACACACACAGTGCACACTCGTACAGCAGAGGCAGCTAAGAGGTGCACGGGGCACAGAGACAGAAGCAGCCCAGGGTTTGAGGTGGAGGGAAATGTGAGCAGTTTGCTATCGTCATCTGTGCCGGTCCTCGGTGACTGTGTGACAGGCCACCCCAAGCCAGCCGTGTGGCCCAAAACAGCCATTCCTTCTCTCTCATGGCTCGGTGGGCTGAATGGGCCGATGGTCCTGCCTCAGGATCTCTGCGGTGGTCGCAGAGCAGCCGGGACTGGAGTCGTCTGGGGGCTCATCTGGGTTGGGCACCGGAGATGTGTGTGGTTTTAAAACATACACTGGAGCGGGGTTCCTGGCTGGCTCAGTCGGTAGAGCATGTGACTCTTGATCTCGCGATTGCAGGTTCGAGTCACGTGTTGGGTGTAGCGATCACTCAAAAATAAAATCTTTAAAAATATAGAAATAAGTAAAATAAAACATAACACTGGAGCAAACTTTATATGCTCTTCAAACAGTAAATAAATAAATAAGTCCTGGAGGAGATCATCCGTATCAGCCTTTTAATCCTATTTCGTGGCATGGATGGATTGTAATTCATTTAAGCAGTCCCCTATGGATGGGTATTTAGTCTGTTTTCATCTGCAGTTGTGAACAAAACTGCGGAAAATATCCCTGAGCACAAATCTTCGCACATACGGTGAATATACTGGTAGAATAAATTCTCATAAACAGAGCCGTGGGGTCAGGTTTTCCATCGAGATGCTCTCCACAGAGGTCGTACCAGTGTCTGTTCTCACCCACAGCACGGCACTCAGCACCCATCTTTTCAGAAATTTTGATGAGGTATAACATACGTACAGAGAAGTGCCCAGATTATAACTGTACAGCTTGATGAATTCTCACAAACTCAACACACCCATGCACCCAGCACCCAAATCAGAAAACAGAACGTTCCAGTACCCCAGAAGCCCCCTCACAGCGCCACCTTCTAACGCCCACGCAGACAGTCTGCCTCAGGCCTTGTCATCATGTCAGATGAATGCTCTGGGCCTCTCCCCTTTCCCAGACACCGTCCCAGACTCAGCCAAGGATCCAAGGGTGAGAGAGGCAGATCCTGCCCTTAGGAAACTTGCCAACAGGAAAAGAAGAAGACACAGCCAGAAAGGAGTTTTTACAGGGTGGAGTTAGGGAAATGCCGTAACAGAACCAGAAACACCATGTTAATGCATAGCAAAGAAAAGAGTTGCCATCTGGCCGAGAGGGATCTAGAAAGGCTTTGGTGAGAAATCCTAGTATTTGAGAAGGGCCTTGAAAGAGAGATGGCCTATAGGGAGAGGAATGGCTGAAGCAAAGGAACAGAAATGGTACTGTTCACAATTTGTTAGGGCAAACGGTAGGAGAAGCTAGACTAGATTGGGGCCATATTTTAGGTGACCCTTTGTTCTGGGATGAGAAAGTCCTCAAATCTAATCTCTTCATCTTCTGCTTCAAGCCCTGCTTTGGCTCCATCTTCTGAATCCAGACCCCTCAGCATGCAGGGGAGCTCTTTATGGTCTGGTCCCGGTCTCCCACCCCCCTCCCTCAGCTTTCTCGCTGAGCCTTCTCTGCCCTGCCCTGCCCAGTACCATGCCTCTTGCCTGGCAAGCTTTTTCCTCTGGCATATCCTCTGATGCCAGCAGAAGCAGCATCCCTTCTAGCATGCCTTTCCCAGCATCCTCGGCCACTGTTCACTCTCTGGCTACAGTGTCTACCTTACGTAGCCATGATGATCTGTGAGCACCTCTGTTTACTGAATAATACTTTCAGCTGTTCAGAGCTAGGGACTCTGCCTTGTTCTCTGCATCTCCAGCTCCTAGCCCAGAGCCGGAGGGCTTCCTCAACGAAGAAGTGAGTGGGAGCCTGTGTTTAATTTGGTGAGCATGAAGAGCTAGTAAAGGTTTGAAGGGAGAGAAATGATTTACCTGGATTTGAGATCTTTGGGGTCGATCATCTGGCAGCAGCCAATGTAGGTAGATTGGAGGAGGAGAGAGAGGGCTGACAGCTGTGACGTGAGGCCATGGTGGTGCTGGGAGGGAGGCAGGGCCCGAGCTGTGCCTGTTGCCACTATGGCTGCTGGAGGGTGAGTGGTTAACACAGCAGTGCCCCCGTTCTCACAGAACCTGGCCCCCCTAACTGGAGATTTCTCATTCATAGCCCATGAACCCAATTCCAGCACCGTTGCCTCCCGACATACCAAGCTTCAGCCTCATTGGTGACAGCCTGTCTTTCGACTTCAAGGATACTGACATGAAGCGGCTTTCCATGGAGATAGAGAAAGAAAAGTATGTAGTTCCCCTGACCTTGTGCCCCCAGTTGGCGAGCTAGAGTGGGGCCATCTGGGCCTGGGGAAACTGGAGGGTCACCGCGGGAGCCTGTCACTAGCTCCTGCAGGGGTTGCTCTGTTCCCACCCTCCGGAGAAAGAATTTCCTCATCAGAAGTGAAGGACATGGGCAATCAGTCTTGCAGGATAACAATGATTCTTGATTGGTGACCTGGAGTTTACGGTGGCTCAAAACCTCATCTACAGTCTAGGACTGGTTGTCAGGGATCTCCGAGCAGTCAGACTGCGGTTCACGTGGGGATAGAGCCTGTGATAATGTCCAAACACAGTAACAGAACAGTTTTCCTGGTTGTGTTCTCCGGCGGTTGAGACCCGCAGCACTTCCCATGTCTAGAGCAAGGGTAAAGGGAGAGCCTTGGGCTCAAGGCCGTGGAAAGCAAATGTCTGAGTCAGGCTAGCCCTGCTGCATGGGGCAGCCCTGAGCTGAGCCCCGCATGCTCTGTTCATAGCAGCTTCTGCTGTGCGCTCCTCCTTCCTTTCATGATTGGTGGAACCGAGGTGGCAGGGAGTCTCACTGCAGAAGAAATCTGACTGCAGTCCCCCCAGGTCCCAGCCGTAGGTAAACTGGCCACTTGTGCCACGGCTTGATGGAGAACCATGTACTGAGTGCCTGGGTGGCAGGGCTTTCTAGCTTTGTCTCATTTCATTCCCGCTAACTAACATCAGGCTGACATCAGAGGTGGGTTTTAGTGTGCCATGCCATTTATAAATGAAATCTACAGCGTTTGATGGACTCACCCAGCATCACACGGCTGATGAGGAGCAGAATGAGGATTCAGCTCCAAGCCCGTGTGAGGCCCTGTGCTCTCACCTTGTCCAATATCCTTGGGATAGCTCTCTTGGGACAGTGTCTCCTTGGGGTCCAGGGTGAGCAACCATGAGCCTCTTTATCTATGGTGTCTGCTGTCCGAGTTGCCCTTCCAGCCTTTCTCCATTGACCAGGCATGTGAGCATTTCATGGTTGTGACAGGGGTGAGGCTACATCCTGTTTCTGGGTCCTGCTTTTTTAATTTGTGTTTTCCTATTACCCGTGCACATGACAGACTCCACATACCAGCAGCCATGGGCATCACTGCAGAATGTTCCTGGTGTTTGTGTTGCGTGGTTCGCCTGATGCCCTTAGAGGTGGACACTTTGAGGATGATTTCCAGATTTTCACTGTCATAGATAAAGAATATCTATTTGCAGGCAATGGTGGGGATCTTTTCCTTCCTGGTGTTGGCTGCGCGAACTTCCACCGAACTCTTTAGGAGATGACATCGCGTAGGGATGTGGCCAGGGCCTAGCAGAAGAGGTCACTTGAATAGAATCACTTATCCAAGAAAGGTTGAGACAAGGAGATTGTTTTGGTTGCCAGGAGTCTTGATTCATATGTCATTACTTGTGCAGAACTAAAAGCTATCTGCGGTAATGGGTATTTGTAGAGCACTTTATGAGAGTTTACCAGGGGCCTTTTCTACGCTTTATTTTACTTAATTCTGACCATAGCTCTGTGAGCGTTATCCCGAGGAAACCGATTCAGACCTGTTAGGTGACAGACCCAGGCTCCCAGGCAGAGACGTGGACCCTAGGCTGCAGACCCTGGATCCCATGTCTCACTTTCGCCATAGCCGTGATGCACGATGTCCTCTTGCCGGCAGAGTGGAGTACATGGAGAAGAGCAAGCATTTGCAGGAGCAGCTCAATGAGCTCAAGACTGAGATCGAGGCCCTGAAACTCAAAGAGAGGGAGACAGCCTTGGATATTCTGCACAACGAAAACTCCGACCGGGGTGGCACCAGCAGCAAGCACAATACCATCAAAAAGGTACCGAGTCTCCTGTCCTTCACTGATCAGGACAGTCATTAATGAAATGTGAGGTTGGCATCTGGTTTCCTGAGTAGCCGAGTTGTTAGACTGTTAACATTTTTATGTGTACTCAGTTGAGGAAATGACTGTGAACCCACTGGCTTGATAGAAAGGGAGCCTGTGTTAAAAGCTCTGATGAAATGAATCACTGTTACGAGATGGGTTTTGATCCATCATTTAGCAGTAAAGCGATTCTGTCTTTTAAGCCAAGGGGAGTTCTGCCCAGGGAGCTGCCTTACTTCATGAGAAAGCAAAATGAAATGGAGGCTGTTGAGAATGGACTCTCCCTCTAGTCTTTTTGGGTTTTTAAGCGGCAAGGACTATAAAAAAAAAATTCTGTTCTTGCTTTAAAGAAACCCAAATTCTGAATTTTTAACATTTTTTCATACTTACACGGAAGTGTCTAGAAGAACCTTAATGTTTTAAAAAGTGAGATTTCATTTGTTGCTAGCAGTTTCAGATAGTTCTCTACTGATATTTTGAGCTTTCAGGATTTTAGAGAAGGTTATATCCCATATACGTGTCAGCCCAAGAGCGCACTTCTCTCACGTCCGGCAGAGCAGAAATGGACTGTCCCGCCAGTCATCTGCTCCTGACTGATAGCCCAGGGTCAGGCTCATACCTGTAAAAGAGGTGTCATTAAAATTAGACTGTTCATTGAGTTTTGATCATGATGGTTTAGATAGGTTTAATTTTTTATTCTTTACCTTAGTCTTTATTTTTATTTTAAAGATTTTATTTATTTATTTGAGAGAGAGAATTAGATAGAGCATGAGAGGGGGGAGGGGCAGAGGGAGAAGCAGACTCCCTGCTGAGCAGGGAGCCCGATGCGGGACTCGATCCCAGGACTCCAGGATCATGACCTGAGCCGAAGGCAGTCGCTTAACCAACTGAGCCACCCAGGCGCCCTTTACCTTAGTCTTTAAAGTGGTGTTCCAGGTTAAGGAGTATCTGTTCTTTTTTTTTTTTTTTTAAAGATTTTATTTAAAAAAATTATTTATTTATTAGAGAGAGAGATAGTGAGAGAGAGCATGAGCAGGGGGTGGGAAGAGGGAGAAGCAGGCCCCCCGCTGAGCAGGGAGCCCGCCGTGGGACTCAATCCCAGGACCCTGGGATCAAGACCTGAGCCGAAGGCAGACGCTTAACCGACTGAGCCACCCAGGCGCCTCAGGAGTATCTGTTTTCAGGTACTCCAAGGGCTCCGTAGCTCCTTGCCATTGTTGATGGGTACATTCGGGAGCCCTAAACTCTCTCTCCATACTCCAGTTTAGTATTGGCAGCCGGTAGAGAATTCCTTTTACTAGCATAACCGAAGAGGAAAGGCCTTTCCCCATTCCACATTCTTCTTTCCTCTGGCTCCCGTCATTTACTGGGTTTCCCTTCCAAAATGAAATTACTAAACCGTTAGCAAAAGGGGAGGTAAAGTGAGGCCTCAGCCAGGAGCCGAGACGTAAAATGACAGCTGGGCTAGTGAGCCAGTCAGCCCTCGAAGGAGCTGCCTCAGGCCTCCCCCCACCACCCCCCCGGCCCCCAGTTCCTCATCTGGGCACCCGAAGCAGTCTCATCTTTGCAGCTGCTGCGGTGAGCTGGGCCCTCAGCCATGGGAACCTGGAGTGCTGAGAGCCGGAGAGACCTGTTCCCAAGCCATAAAAACAAACAAATGAAGTCACTTGTCACAATTTCAGGTCTTTCTGAGCATTTTGCAAATGGCACATGTGGCATTGTTGATATCACAGGGTATGTTTTTGTTTTTCTTCATTTTATTTTGCTGGTTTAGCCTCAAGCCCAAGGCAGAAGACCTATCTGCATTTGAGCCCTGAAAGTAGGTTATTCCCAGGTACTCTATGTGGTGATGGTACTACCCTCTGTGATACTAACCCGTGCATGAGCTTGCCTGTCTCTGTCCCTGGGCCATGCTGAGCCCTCCCGAGGGCAGGTGGAGCCTGGGGACTGGCCGCAGCATGCTTTGAATCTGAGAGCAGGCGTCCACCCTGTGGGGCCAGACCAGCCTCCAGGGGTCCAGAAGCCTGCCTCGTTCTGAAGAGCATGTCATGGGGCTGTAGGACCGGCTGTCCTTCACATCTTGTGTCATTGTTGGGCTGGGGATGGTCATGGCTTCTTGTCCAGTGAGGTCTGTCTAAAAGTTCTTTGTCTCAGTGGTGTAGTCCTTAGATAAATAGCCCTAGCATGGAAACGGGATAAATTTGGGTGTCCTTAACTCAAGATCAAGACCTTTCATGTGGTGACAGCCTCTGAAGACCCATGGTCATACCCAGCCACTTCTGCTGGTGGAATGGAGGGGTGTCCGCACTCCCTCGTTTTCCTTTAGATCCTCCCCTTTCTGTACACATCCGTTTTCTTTCCAAGTAAAGCAAACCACTAGCACAGCGGTCTGATCTGTAGTCCGTCTAAGTGCACCGTCTGTCCGTTGGCGCTCTAAAGGCTGTCTATTGCTTAAGCTCTGTCACAGCCTGGGGCAGAGTTGTGGTCAGCGTGAACTCACGTTGGGACAGTCGCCGGCACCCGGTAGATGAACAGTCAGTGGTTGTTGAGTGAATTAATGGAATGATTGCTGCTTTCCTTCTGCAACAGTTCATCATTCTCCCAACATGCCTCGGCAGTGGGGAGAATTTATTATGCCCAGTAATAACAACATCCTCCCTCTGCTCCTCAGCTGATCCCCAGTGGTACACAAGCCAGTGAGCCCTCCAACACCTGACGGTCGTGTGGGATGTGTCCTTTGGTGTCCTCAGCACAGTTTCTGCTATTAGAATAAAATAAGCTCATTGGAAGCCCTCTACCAAAAAGTGAGATCTGGCATAAGATAGATCTTACTTGCAGTCATTATCCAAGCAAGAGAGGTTAGCTATTAAAGTCCCAGATGGGTCTCATTACAAGATGGATTCTATCTGTCAGTGGTTCCAAGAACCCATAGCATGAACCCCGACTTGTGTGTTTGAGTTAGCAGACTCCTATTTCTTCAGTTTTCATACCACACGTTGGCATCGAACGGCCCAACACCAAGCAGTGCACGCTCTGAGCAGGGCAGTATGACCAACCCCAGAATTGGGCAGGCCAGGTGGATCATCTGTTCAAGTAGTGACCCCAGGGTGCCCAGAAGACCGTGGGGTGGATCCACTGTGGGTTCCTGGACTTTGTGGCCAGCACAGGGTCCAGCAGAAAGTCCCTTTTTGTCTCAGCCTGCCCTCTCAGCTCTGCCTGCATATGACCATACCATTCCACCTCGAGAGGATTTCATCTTTCTTCTTTCTGTAATGATTCAGAATGTTTAGATTCTTCGGGGGCCTGATTTTGACCGTCAGTTCTCACTGAGCTCTTATTATAGACAAATGAGGTTTGATTTGTAGTCAAATTTGTACTGCTCCTAGGACATTCACAGAAGCCTTTTTTTTTTTTTAAGCATCTTGATGTGAACTTGTTCTCAAAGCAGGCTGCCATGTTCCAGTTAATCAAGAATTCTGATTACTGGAGGTTTAATAAAAGCATGGACTTGGCTTTTAATACAGCTGGACTTATCCCAGGATTACTAGATGAAATCATGGAGTTTTTGCTACACATGAAGTTTGATACCCTTTGCATTGTCTGGACTTTGTGTGGTCGCTGGGGCCAGCGACCACGCTTGCCAAGCAGCCACCTGCCTGTGTGGGGGTCGCTCTGGGGTTGTGCCTGCTCCTGTCTGGGCCAAAGTCAGCCTAACTGAAGAGAAACACCACGGTGGGCTTTGTAAGTGTGGCCACCCAGAATGTGAAGGGCAGAGCTCCATCTACAAAGTCCCGGACGAGATATGGGAAGGCTGATGGTGAACTGGACAGTCTCACTCATTAGTCTTGGTTCAAACCAGCCTGCCCTGCTTTTTATTTTGTTTTTAATATTTTCTGATCATAGATTTCTTCAAAAAAAGAATGGGTCTACCTACCTACCATGACCCGGGCGTGTTCCTTCTCCTCCTCGCCTTCGGTACTCTTTTGCCTGACCGTGAGGCCTCTGCGCCTGACACTGTCTACATAGTACCCTTGGGGGCTGAGGAGCACTTAAGCTAATTCCAGGGGTTTACCCTTCGGTTTAGGGGTTACCATATTCCCTTGGAAATGCCAAGAGGCTGTCTGGTCTGGTTAACTGAGTTTACCACTGCTCTGCCACTTACTTTGTCCATAATTCTTACTTTCTCTTAAAGCCCAGTGTCCTCACCTGTAAAAAGTGAATAAAAGACTCCTTAACCCCCAGGATTGTTATGAGGATTAAATGAGGTAATACACAGGAAATAGTTCACCGTAAGAGCTCAGCAATTAATTTCCATGTGTTTGGAGTTTAAAACTGAAAAAGCCAGAATTAACTTCCCTGGTTCTTTTACTATCTGATTTGAGTTTGCAAGGGTATATTTTGCTCCTCCTGCTAATCTTAGCTCCCCACATTTTTCCCCCCAATTGATAATCAGTGCAACTGGATTGGCATTTGCACTGACTCAGAGTGGCACCTAGTGATCAAAAGCCGCCCCTAAGAACCGAGATACATTTCATTCTCAGGGAGAGCGACAGTGACACATATTCCTGGCCTCTGAGTCTTTCGAGTGAGAGCGTGAGGTCCGACAGTGAGGCTGGGGTGTCGTGGCTTCAGAGCCATAGTGCTGATGAGGTGAGCGGCGGCCAGCTGTGCCGCACACTTGGGAGGTGAAAATCCAGTCTGGGAGCTTGCACATTCCAGGGTCTTGCTTTCATTCCCTCTCAAGGGACAGGTTTCAATCCCCAATCCTGAGCTGGTCTGAGTACCCCTGATCTCCAAGGAAGCACGGGATTTCAAAGGAAATCGACAGATGAGAAACCATGGGGGTCGTAGAGCTTAGAGAGCTTGTTTTATTAGTAAATGGTTTGAGCCATCAAGGTCCAGCTGTGGTTTACGCTGGTGGAGGAACAGGAATGGAGTCTTGACAGTTCTCTGAAGCCGTAGCCGCCTCTTGGATCAGGAAGACATAAAAGTCCAATGTCATCTTCAATTTTGTGCGGACTCCCCTTGGAGATGCAGGGCTGGCGAAGTGAAGTAGAACACTTAAAACACCCAGGGGAGTGATAAATCACCAGGCGAGATTGAATATGCGTGAAAGGCGTCTCCCACAATTAAAACAAACGGCCAGAGCCTCCCTGGTGACCTCTGGTCCTCTGCCTCTGAACAATTTCTGTCGCTTGTGTGTGGTTCATGTGTTCAGCCTTTGGTGACCCCGGTTGCTCGATCCGAGTGGCTCCGCCTGCTTTGGAAACTGGGCGCTGCCTGGTGCAGCATCCTCTGGCTCCCCAGCTCCAGAACCTTTCTTTTGTTGTTGTTGAAAGGTGGCAGAGGCCGGAGGCGGGGGGCCAGAGAAGAAAGGGGGATGGGCACAGGGTGGGAGCAAGGATTAGCAAGGAACGACAGCAAGGCAGGTGTGGATAGAAAACATAGGGAAGAGAGAGAGGGCAGTGGCGAACTCTTCCCCGCTCTGTGGGAAGCCCAGGGAAGGCGTTGGGAGGCTGGTCTCAGGGAGCGTGGTCTTCCTGGACCTGACGCCTGGGCTCATCCCCGAAGGCCACTCCTACCTCCCATACACCACGGGCCTCTCCACTGGGGAGGGCTTACTGTTCTCTTGCTTGTTTCTGGTAGCTCTCTAGATAGGAGGTTCTGTCAGCCTCTTTTCCGAAAGACCACAACCTAGTTCCTCTTTTTGGTTGGGAGACTTTACGCAGTCAAGCAGTTGCCCTTTGGGGAGGCGTTGAGGAGCCTACGGAACCTGCTTTGCCCTCCTAGGATATTTTACAACCATTTGGAAGTGCCTGAGGACATTATTGGGCCTTATTTGATGCAGTAAAACATCCCATTTGGTCCCTCAGCACTGAAGATGTGTTTCAGTGCAGCTTTCCTCCGGCACCTGATTTGTTACTGCAACAGTGGGAGGGAAGAGACGAGATGCAAACTCATTCTGCGGGCTGGAGGTTCTGTTCTTACGGTCCTTGCTGTGATTTCCCTTCTGATATTGGCAGTTTGAAAATAACATCAGTATATCTGCACCTTTTTGCTGAGGTCCTTGGCGCTCAGAGCACACCGTAGCTGTGAGTTAGCTTCTACCTGCCCAGTGAGGTGAATCAGGCTGATTAGTCCATTTTCCAGGCGGAGGAACCGGGGTAGCAAAGGGCCCTTCCAGCATCACACGGGCACCTCAAGACACAGGCACACATCAGTTTCCAGGCATCTTCCTGCTTTAGGTCCCTGAAGGATTAATGTTACGAAAGAAACCCTCTGGGTTTTCCCTGGCCATTTTCTTTCCAGAGCAGATAAAGAATGAATGTGTTAATTGGGATGGACTTGGCCTTTCATCCCACCTCTGCTTAGGGATAAGTGTGCGCACAGCTCTCTCCCCGCGTACATCACCAGATGGCATTTGGGTGCAAGCCGTCACTAGCAAGATGGCAGAAATGCTTAATCTGGCCACTTTACAGCAACTGTCCCCCTTCCCTGGCCCTGCCCCCTCACCTCTGATTTGGAAGGGGGAATGTTGATTACACCCAAAACCAAAGATTATGTTGGAATTGCCGCTGCTGGATTTGGCTGTCACCTTTCTGCTCCAGAGTTGGCTTTCTCCTGGTAGATCCCAGCGTCAGAGAATCTGCATGTCCTTTTGAATCTGTGCCTTCCCCCACTCCTTCATTTTCAATATGTAGTGGCGGAGAGGAAGTATAACATGATTTTAGGGCTTGTGTTTCAATTCCACTGCATTTTTATGGGACAAGCAGAGTCTCTGAGCCTAGAGTTATTAGGTTAGTATCTAAAATGGGTTCATTTTAGTTTTATTGTCTTATTGTTTAAAATGAATTAGACGGTCCCCCTCCCACCTTCCTCTCTCCTCCCTGGGGATGAGTGGATCGAGGCAAGGCCTCCAGAGACTAGTTGGAGGAATCCTGGCGCTCTGATTAGTTTTGTTCTCCCAGCTTAACTGCAGAGCTTCCTTTCTCTGGTCACTGATAGCCGAAGTGGCTCTGTGTCCTGCCCACCCCCACACCACCCCTTTTTGCTTTAGGAACAAGATTATCACAATGTGGCCTTGTGAATCAATTTTCTCCATGTGCTGATGAAAGTGTAATTCATTCTTAATCAAGCAGCCTTGCTACTGCAGGCTCCGTGCCGGAATACATTTCGTTACCCTCCCATCACTTTGGGAAATGATTCCCCCAAAAGGACTTTTAGAGGAGAGCTGGAAGGAGAGTTGGCAGCCCGCCTCATGTTGTGTTTTTCCAGCAGGGGGCACTCTTGGGAATGATGCCAGAGGATCCTTTGTAGCAGGCCGCCTTCCGGGGTGGGGGGGTGGGGCAGGCTGGGAAGGGTTGGTAAGCCTGGTGCTTGTCACAGGTGCCTTTCCAGGCTTGCCGTCCCCAGACTCCGGAGCCATTTCTCAGAAGTGGGCAAGTGCCAGATCATTGTATCTTGATGGGCTGCCTGAAATGCTTACCCAGTGAGCAGGAACCAGTTGAGTCTGCATCTGACGTGCATGCCTGGGTTAGGTAGAACCTGCTGGGCACCTGGTCCTGCTGAGGCTTGAGAGGAGCCAGCCTCCTCTGTCTTTTTCAGGAGACATATATGTCTCCCGAATCTGAAGTTGTTGAGATTAGATGGATGTGTCCATGTGGTGATACCACACACGGTTGTGATTGCTTGGAGAGGTGTAGCTCTCCAAGTGGCTCCTTCTCCTGCCCTTTCACAGCCTGGCGGTTTGACGGACAAATGGGCAGGAGGGAGAGGGGACTCTGCCAGGCTGTCGAGGCTGAGCAGGATGAAGGGTCCAGGCCCAACAGGTGGATGAGAGCCCCTGTAAGATAAAAACCAAGCCGTATAGATCTGCAGCAGGGAAAGCAAAGGAACTTTGTCTCCTCAGAATGGAATTGGATTAGTGACAGACTTGAACAGCCGGTTCAGTCAAGAGAGAACTTAATTCCTCCTGTATTATTCACACGGCTGATTTTAATCAGATGTGAAGAGACAGCTGGAAGAGAGAAGCGGGTCAGCCCCGTGCCTGGTGAGGAAACTTCATGTTCTTTTAGTCATCTTTAGGGAACTGGCAAGAGCACTGCGGGTTGGGGGCCTTGTGCAGGGCCTCTGTGGTTTACAGCTTCCCAAAGGAGCTGGGAATGACCTCTGGGAGCCCCAGGGCTGGCCCTTGTCTGGATTCAGTGTGACTTTTGAACGGTGCGTGGCAGACACGGTCACTAGTTGTGTTCAGGCAGAGCTCTAGCCGCTTGTCCTCAGAAGGACTCTGAGAAGGCGGACCAGATTCAGCAGGTCCCAGAATGATGCAGCCATTGGCCTTGAGGCATCCTGAGGCTTTTCTGCTTTACCACCTACTGAAGTTCAGAGGAGACCTCTTCCTGGTCAAGCGCGGAGATAAGCCATGGCAGTGTGGTCATTGAGCCCACACCCCGAGGACTTGGGGAGTTCCCCTTGCTCCTAGAGGCAGTGGCCCCCCTCTCCCAGCAGCTCAGGCTGGAGGGCGAGGAGGGGTATTGCTGGGCCGCCAGAGAGAGCGCAGGGTGGCAGTGGGGGGCTCGCGAGACTGGCTTCAGTTCTCACAGTGTGACCCGCGAGAGGGAGGTGAGGGCCTTCTTCAGGCCATCTCCGTGGCGCTGTGAGGAGAGAGCCGGGCCAGTCGCTGAGCGTGAAGGCCAACCGAACACTGACATGGGCTCGGACACCTTAGGGCGTGGGCGGGTGGCGGGGAACCAGGCTGCTTGGTAGCCAGTTCTCATGAGCACACAAAGATCCACAGAGGCAGTTTGTTTTCTGAAGGGCTTGCTTTGTGCCATGCCCTCTGAGCCCTCCCCTCCTCTCTTATGAATACCTCCTGCCTGTAGCCTAACAGTGAACGTGACAGGCAGTGAGCTTTCTAGAAGCAGCAGGTGGTGACAGATTCCAGGTGAGAGGAACCAGGCCGGAGCGCAGCTGGGAGCTGCTGGTGGTGGTGCCCGGAGGCCCTCCTGACCTCTGCCCCTGGGCGTCTGAGTCCCCGCCCAGAGGAAAGAAGCCCAAGGCTTCTCCTTGCAGACCCTCCTCTCACCACCTGCTTTCCTGCACGAGCACAGGGAGAGCTGCCTGGCTCCGGAGGAGGACATTCTGATGTCTAAGCTAAAGGCTGCTGCTGAAGGGGGAGCAGGCAGAGGCCGGGGTGGTGACTGGACGGGTTCCAGCAGCAGATAAGTGCGCTTGTGGAGGTAATTTCCTCAGACGGCGGGGTCCCTAATGGAATTAGGACTGCCAGGAATCACACAACAGTCAGGTCTGCCTGTGGGCCGATGCTGGAGGCTCCCAGTGTCCTCAGTGGCAGCAGTCCTGTCAGCCGCCTCCGTCTGGTAGGTCCGCCTGTCCCTGTAGCAGCCTAGTGCCTTATGGGAGACCATGGTACACTCTCCTCTTGCCGAGGCCACGTGTCTACAGTGCTTTCCTACTTCTGTATGGCCAGAGTATTGGACTTTGCTCCAAACCTTTCCTCAGGCGTGCAGTGTCGGGTAGGGATCCAGGGAAGCATCTTACCCACCCGAAGAGGGCTTTGCATCCCAACAAACACATGCTTGAGTAACTGGAATCTGGCACTGCCGGAGCTGCCAAAACCTTCCTCTGGCACCTCGAGGGGACAGCCAGCACGCAACTCGGGTAGAGGATCCAGGAATTCTTGGAGCCAACATTGTACAAATGGGCGGAAGGCTCTCAGAGGCCCCCACAGCCTGGGCTTCCTGCCTGGGGAAGTGGCCAGGCCTCTCGGGGGCATCCTCTTGCCCTGCCTCGGAGGCCGTGAAGCCAGCACAGTGCGTGACCCTGCCTTCTCCTGCACCGCCTCTAACCTGCATTCTGCCCACTCCCCCACTGGAAGGAGAGGAGCCAGAGCTGGGGCTAGGGGGGAGAAAATGGTGCTGTGATTACTAATAACAGCTGTTGAGTTCTCCGCGCACATCACGCATGGTGCTGAGTGCCTCACAGTGCTTCCCAGTAACTCTGCGTGTCCCCCTGTGAGGAAGGGGTGCCACCACCCCCACTTCATGGCAGGCAGCTGGGGGCCACAGCGAGTAAGTGACCTGCCCAGGGCCACCCAGCCGGTCAGTGGCTTTGGATCAGGCAGCCTGGCTGTGCCTGTGTGTGACTCAGTGTGGGGGAGGGCTGTGGGCATCTCCCTGTCCCCCTGAGGAGCCCACCTAGGTCTTCCCTGGGAGCGTGGAGGAAACCTGAGTGAAGACATTGGGTTTCACACCTTTCTTAAAAAAAAAAAAAAAAAAAAGATTTATTTATTTATTTTAGAGAAATTATTTATTTGAGAGAGAGAGCGCGTGTTAGCGAACATGAGTGGGGGTGGGGGGGCAGAGGCAGAGGGAGAGAATCTCAAGCAGAGTCTAAGACGGGGCTTGATCCCAGGACACAGATCATGACCCAGGCTGAAACCAAGTTGGATTCTTCACCAACTGTGCCATCCAGGTGCCCCTGGGTTTCACAGCTTTTGATTTAAATTCTCCCCCAAAAGGATTTTGTCCCAGTGATTCTCGGGTTCTCTTTCTTCTTTCCCGGTTACCATTGTGAGTCCCATTATCACAGAGCACATAACTCCTGGACGTTCTCTTCTGACTGCATTTAGGGAGAAACCCATCCAAACTTGGCTTCCTTCTAGAGGGAGTTCCATTTAAGCAAAGAAATGAAAGCTCTCTCCGTTCCTATTAGAGCTGGGTCTTCCAGAGGGCTTCTGAAATTGGTTCCACTGAAGAAGACAGCTCAGACGCCTCCCTACACTCAGCTTGTTAGTGAGGAACTTCAAGGCCATGAGACTTGGCAGGGTTTAAAGAGCCGGCTCTCAAGCTGTCTCATTTGAGCACACTGCCGCTGCTTGTGTTTGATGGAGAAGCGATGGGTTTCCAGCCTCCCTCCCACACCCTTTAGGGAGCTGAGATAGTACCAAGGGCTTTTTACATTTAGAGACTGCCAGGGGTCGAGGAAATGGGCCAGACCGTCCAGCCGGCTTCTGTGGTTTAACTCCAGAGGGAAGAGGCTCAGAGAGGTCAAGGGTGTCCACTGAAGCCACACAGCAAGCTGGTGAGAGGAGAATTAGTGCCTGGACCTTCTCAGCCGCATGTGGAGCTCCTGCCTTTTCCATGCATCCCACCATTTCTCTCTAGCCTACATCTGATTGACTCAACAAACATTGTCAGAGCTGCTACTAGGTATGAAGCAGTAAGCTAAGTGGGTTTGGGGGATATGAAGATGGACGGTACGTACCCTGTGTCCCCCTTCCCTGAAGACCCTCCTCTGTGAAGTCCAGGAGCTGGATGTAGAACACACAGTCTCCCCCAAGTGGGTGATGTCAGGAGGGGAGCCGGGAGCAGGGCACTGCAAGAGGCCCAAGCCAGATGCTTCTGTTGGGGGAGATCCTGGGAAGTGGCCTCCTGAGTCAGGGGATTGGGGCTCAGCAGTTCAGGGGGTCACAAATTCTAGTGCCTTTGCCACCACGCCAGGAGCTCAACCCCTGATCCTCTGCCCTCCCTTCTGCTGTTTCCCCGCCCTGTGCTTCTCAGGGGAGCAGCCTTCCTGGGAAGGCCTGGTTGTTTCCAGACAGAGCACTGCCCCGCCGGCACCGTCCTCCTTGCCTGAGCCGGCCCCAACTAGAAAGCTCATTGCCTCCCAGCTTGTAGATGGAAACCCCCTCTGAGCTGCCAGGTCACTGGTCACTGCTTTGGGGCCACCGGGAGAACCAGCAGTGGAAGGGACACACTCCTCCTCGTCTGACACAGGCCTGCCTTGCCTGGGGCTTGTACTACCAAGCTGGTCCTCTCAGCCCTGGAGTGGATGAGCATCCCAGGCTGACTCGACCACAGGCAGGGCCCTACAGAGGCACATTAGAGACTCTTGTAGACGGGAACATGAGACTCTATTACAGTGTCTGGGGATCTCCTGCCCTCTTCGAAAAGATGACATTGATGACATTTTCCTGCTGACATGCTTCTGTCCACCAGCCATCCCTCCTGGCATGTCCTCATTTGTCACTTCCTAATTTGAGTTCCTGGGCAAATCTGGAAACTTACTTAGGATTGGCCGCCAGCTTCTTCAGCATCTGTCTGAGCAGTCTTCCCTTCCACTCCAAACCAGCCCTGAGGTTAGTTCCTAAGGCAGGACGGCACCTGTCGCGAAAGCAGAAATCCAGCCCCCTTTTAACTTCTTCTCTGCTTCTTTGCAGCTCACCTTGCAGAGCGCCAAGTCCCGAGTGGCCTTCTTTGAAGAGCTCTAGCAGGTGCCCAGCCACCCCAGGATCTGTCACATCTGCTGCTTCCTGGCATCAGAGGGATGGGTCAGACACCGTGGGAGTCATCGTAGGTGGGCTGGCTGGGAGCTTCCGTGGGAGCTCTGGAACTTTCCCCAGCTGAGTGGAGAGCCCAACCCCCTTCATGTGCAATTGCCTTGAACTGTGACCTGCAGAGAGCTCTCTTGTGGGGTTCTAGTTCTTTTTAAAATTTTTAAAAGAAGTATTTGTCTTTCCTCATCTGACGTGGGGTTTCATACTTCCTTTGTCAGAGGCACCCTGGGGTGTGTGTCTCACGTCCAGTGCTGACCTTCCCAGCTCAGGGAAGTGGTTGTAGGGAGTGAAGTGCACAGGAGCCCTGGAGACAGGGAGGCTGGCGCCACTGCCCCCGCCCTATGCTAGGTCCCAGAACATTCATCTCCACTGGTGAGGAACCGGCATGCGAAGAAGTGTGGCCCGCCCAAGCCCAGGCCCAGAGCGGCCTGCCTGCCGGCCTGCCTGCTGCACATCATCGCTGAGCTGGCCTGTGGCTCATGACAGGCCACGCGATGGGTCTTCAGCCCAGGCGCCCCCGAGGCCGCGCGCTGGCTGCCGGCTGGTGGGGAATGGGAAAGGCAGCTGTGAAGGGGGAAGACTCTAGGCAGAAGCTGTGATGACGGGCTGGCTGCCAGCAGAGGGGCAGGGAGGCCAGCAGAGCTGTATAGGAATCTGCTCCACACAGAACACTCACTCCCCTTCTGCTGCCTCAGACCAGGGTCCAAGCGGCAGGCGGGAGCTGCGTCTTCCTCACCCCCTCAGCCTCAGTCTTTCCTGCCTGTGGCGGGCTGGGGAACTCCCCGGGCTCTTGTAGTCAGCACCTGAGCCCCGCCAGGCTCTGTTAGGGCTCTGAGGCCCCGCAGGTACTTCTTCTTGCTGAGGCCTCCGTCTGTGTGGCTGACCTGAATCCCCTCTCCCTCTGGCCACGTGCCAGCAAGCCCTTCCTAAGCCTTGATTGTATTGGGCCTCCTTCTGGTGTTGCCCTTGTACCCCAGCCGGCCCTTTATTTTATATGCCCCCTTGGGCCATGTGGGGTCCCTCGTGCCCCTCCCAGCACAAGCCAGGTGTCCCCTCCCTGTTGGTGCTCTGCCACTCGGGCAGCAGCAGGCCACAGAGCCACCCCCGTGGCACCAGCCGCCTTAGTTTGGGGCTACTTTGTTTGCTCTGTGGTTTGGTGGTGCTTCTGTGACCCACTGGCCATTCAGATCCTTCCGACGGGGCTGGTATACAGAGCAGGAGTTAAGTCTGAACCAGCGAAAAGAGGCTTACTAAGTGAAGACATGTGAAGGCCTGGAGATTTCCTGCGAGTGGGGGTGGCTCTGGCTGTCCTGTGTGGTTTTGAGAAACTCCTAAAGATCCTGCCTTCTTTCCACACTCAGGCCGACCTGACAGTGTCCCAGGCGGGCCACCCTGCTATTTGGGGCCACGTTGCCCTGAGGAAGGCAGCCCTGTGGGTACCCAAGCCCCTTAGGGCCGCTTAGGGCATGCAGGGTGGGATGGCTGTGGCTGAAAGAGCTTCCTTGTGTCTCCCCGTCCCTCAAATGCCTCTTCCCCCGAGACGTGGTCCCAGGGAGGCATTTGTAATGTAGGGCCTGGCTCTTGTGTTGAGGCTCTGTCTCCCCAGGCTCACCAGCCATCCCTGAATTTCCATGACAAGTTACTCTTCTCCTGACCTGTAAATTGAATCTGTAACAGTGGCTGTGGGCACAGGAGCATGGTAGTGGTTTATATAAATGTTGTCGGGCTTTGTTGTTTTTATTATTTAACTGCTGTGTGTGTGTTCCAAGTCCGGGAACTGCCGAGCCACGTGGCCACAGGGGAGCCAGCTAGCATCTGAGCTGTGGCAGGGGCACCCTGGGGCCCGAGAGCGGACTGGGGGAGGGGGGCAGCAGAGCCTCGCTCACCCAGGAACACTTCAGCTCTCCTTGGAGGCTGGAGAGGGCGGTGGCCCTCAGAAAGGCCTTGAGCCACAGTGGAAGGAAAAGGAAGGAAAGAGGAGCTCAGTTTTCAGGGACTCGTGCCTGTGGCTCAGGTGACCGTGCTCTTTTCAAGTGAACATTTTGGGGGCACAGGAGCTTATTAGGTAAGGAAGCCTCTGTGCCCCCCCCCGAGAGCAGGGCCCTAGCCACAGCGATTTCATTACGGGCACTTCTGAGGGTTCTCAGGCTGCCCAGCTGGTGACACCCCGTGCGGCTGCGCTGTTGGCCCTTCGCTGTTGCACACAGACCACCTCGCTCATCCTGACTGGGGCCCTGCCTCAGCCCCAGCCACGCTCTGACCTGTGGCGTCTGCTCAGTTATCCCTGTACCTGCCAGGCCACGCTAGACAACACCCCGTGGCATTACGTAACACTTCTTAAGTGACTGTGTTTTGTAATCTTGGGGACAGGCTTCTCTCTCCCTCTCTTTTCTCTTACAAATCAAAACAGCAAATCCAGAGGCTGACAACCAGGACGGGGACGGAGTGCTGCTCGCTGACAGGGCTGGGGCCTTGCAGCCCCCGGAGGGGCCGCCTCAGTGGGGAGACAGCCCCTCCCGGCTGCCCGGGGGCCAGGCTGGCCCCCGTGGGCTTCCAGGGAAGCTCCATCCCTTTCCAAGATGTCAAACCGCATTTGTTCCAAGGCTATTTTCTATTCCGGGGGATTGTAATTTAAGTGATTGTTTTAATAAAAATTCTAAGCCGTCAAAAGTATCTCGGGCTTCTTTGGTTTGCTTGCCGCCCCAGCCATGGAGGCAGCAGGATGGGCTGGGTGGTAGGGCTCACTCACTCTTGCGGGCGCTGAGGAGACGGGGCCTCCGCCCTCCCTAACTGCCCCGGGACCTCAACTCCAGCCCCATGTCACCAGTAACAGAAGGATCACCTTTTCCAGGCTGATGACAGCACCCCTTACTACACTTTCCCCTGGGAACGCCCTTCCTCCCCCCGCCCCCGGGGCACTTGGTGCATTTCCTTTCCGTGCCCCCTGCCTGCCCTTGTCCCCATTCTGGGCTCTGGAGGAGGGGTTTGGGGTGGGGGCTTGCAGAGGGTCCTGGGCACGGTCCACAGGACAGATGAGGCCTGCTGTTGTCACAGGCCACGTGGCATTCACACTTCAAGTTGGGAAGCATTGCTGCAGAGCTTATGGTTTTCTGTTTTCTTCAATCAATAAAAATCCTTTAAGACCACAACTCCTATAGGACATCTCTGTCTCAAATCATGCAGCCTAAAATGAAAAATTCAGGCGGCACAATGCGTTATCAGGACTTCTCAGGGGCCTGCCACATGTCAGAATACATTTCAGGTCTCCATTGTACGGGCCAATCACGAAAATAACCTATCAGAATACACACAAATTTCCAGGAGTTGGAGGTAAATACAAAGTTTTAAAATATATCTTGGAAAGATATGTTTGAAGTTAGAGAATTAGGAAATTGCAAAATTTGTAGACAATATTTTGTTGGTTTTAAATTTATAAAACCGGTAGCTAATTAAACTTAGATAAACAATACGAAAATGCTTCACTTTTTAAAAATGTAGATTGTTATTTTCAGTGATTGGACATAGTTTGGTTTCCCCTGTAGTGTGACCCAGAAAAAGTACTTCATAAATACTGGTTATTTGAAGTGCCCAGACGATATTTTTACCTGACCTTTTAAAGCCAACCCCCAACAGATAGTAATATGCCCGTACAGATCCTGAGAGCTCCGTTAAGTGGGATGAGAACTAATAATAGTACCCGGTATTTTGGTACTGGGGAGACCGGTTGAGTTCTACTCCGCTTTTTTTTTTTAAAGTTTGTTTTGACAGTGCTATAACCCCAAAGCTGCTGGCCAGACCTCAGGACTTAATGGTAGGACTTAATGGGGGTCCCTCAGTGGCTCCTTCTGACCTCCCCACCAGCAGTTGGTCCTTTTGCCTTGGTCCTCGCCTGAGGACGGAGTGCCTGGTGGCTGCTCCCGGGGCTGCCCACCCCAGAAGCCTTGACTTCGGAGGAATGGATAGGGAGCCACCCACGTACGATGGTGAATTCTGGCCGCAGGACTCTGGGAGGAAAGGTGTTGGTGCAACCACGTTGAATCCAATTTCTTGCACGTCTGGGGGAAGAGAAAGTCGAGCCATCCACTCATCCTCTGTCTCCCTCTCACCCCAGGCCGCCGGGAGGCCAAGGGCCCATCTCCCCTCTCGGCCGGCCGCCGCGACGGGGCTCCCTGGCAGCCTGTCATGACTGCATTATGGCAGGTTGCTGCCGGCTCTGGGGGGAGTCAGGAGCTCGCTTACAGGGAGTGGGCTCGGGCCGTTCATCAGCACTGCGAGCCCCTGAGCTGACTCAGAGCAGAACCCTCGCCGCGTCCTCTCCCGGTGCCCACTTGATGCCCATCTCACTGGGGCGGCAGCCCCAGAATAGCACCTGGCATATTGCCTCTGAGCCAGAGAAATCAAGACCCATGAGGACTGCTGCAGTCAGAGCGGGGAGAGGCTCCCCCTTTCCTGCCGGCCAGGAGCTTTGCTTCCCTAACCCCTGTTTCCCCCTCTGAAAAGAGGGTTGATAATGACCTCTCTGGGTACCTCTGGAATGTCAGAATAACGTCAAGAGCAGACGCAAAAAGTACTCAGATTTCTAAGAAAAAGGGTGCGGATGTGGGGCAGTGTCACCATTATTTACAAATAATAGGAGCAGCGCTCATGAAGAAACACATTTTTTTCTTTACGCCCAGTGGGGGAGAGGGCTAAGGAGACCACAGAGCTGAAGGGCTCAGCCCTTTCTGACTTGGAACTCAGACCTGGGTTCCAATCCCCCCTCAGCAACTTGCCAGCCATGTGACCCCGGGCAAGTTACAGGGTTTTGTGGGGATTAATAGGAGAGCTCCAAGCACGGTGCCACTTGGTGAGGGGTGGCTCTTTAGCTGGACGCTTCTTTGTGGGGGTCGGGGTGGGCATTGCAGGAGGAAGCAGTGGTGACCCAGAGGAAGCCGTGACTCCGAAGGGTCAAGCCCACCAGCGGCCCCCACGGGGGGGGCCCCATCCCTCCACCTGCAGCGGGAACTTAATGAACCTGCATCTGGCCTGTTTGTCTTCGCTGTGTTTGCCCAGTGCCAGTTGCAAAGGAGATGATAGATAACCCAGGCTGGGGCTGCATGGAAAGGATGTTCTGGTGTTGTCACATTAATACCCGCTGCTCCGGTCAATAATTTACCGGAGGCTCAGGGTGACACGGGCTGGGTGGGCAGTGCCGGCTCTGCACCTGGTGCTCTTCCTGAGCCTGTGGGTGCCTGGGCTGTGAGAACCCAGCCCGCAGACACCAGGGAGGCATGGCAGTGACCTGATTTTCTCTTATCAGGCATAAGGAAGAAGTCCCCACGGACTCTTGCCCATTTCCAATATAAATAATGTAATTCCCCCGCCTGCCTGCTAGGGGAGGAAGGGGCAGTCTTTGATCTGAAGGAATTAAGTCAGTAAACAAAAGGGAAGAGGCTGCGGAGGTGTCTCCTTAGGGCACCTGCTGTGCCATTTGCCCTGAAAGACATGCAGACAAGAGAAATGGATTGGTGGGGGCAGCCGTGCTCCCGCCCTCTGTCCCCCTGGATCTCCCTGAAGTCGCCCTTTGTCCTCAGCTGAGCCCGGAGACGCCCTTCAGGGTCCCAGCTGCAGGCCAGCCCCTGTGTGGTGTCCCCCTCCCCCTCCTTGGACTGGCCCAGCGGGGACCGCGGGCAATTTTCAATGGAGGATAATTCTGGGGGAAATATGTGTGCCAAATCTGCTTGGTCTGGGATAGGCAGCTTAGCCCAGGGACCCCGGGGTTGGAGAAGGACGCCCCCACCCTCCTGCCCTCTGTCATGGGATGAAGGGGCCTGTGGCTGGCAGAGCCACCCAGACTGTGTCCCACAGAGGGCCACTCTGGCTTCCAGGAGAGCAGGCCCTGCGGTATGGTCCTTCAGAAGCTCTCTGCTTGCAGCTGTGTGGCCTTGAGTAAGTCCCTCTACTCTCTGGGCTTCCAAGTCCTTGGCTATACAAGGTCAGGTTTGGGCCAGAGGAACTCTGAGGCCCTTTCTTGTTCCAATAGTCTTCAAATCTCATGTTTTAAAGGAATTCCTCAGGGGCGCCTGGGTGGCTCAGTTGGTTAAGCGACTGCCTTCGGCTCAGGTCATGATCCCAGGGTCCTGGGATGGAGCCCCTCATCTGGCTTCTTGCCTCTCCCTCTACCTGCTGCTCCACCTGCTTGTGCTCTCTCTCTGTCAAATAAATAAATAAAAATTCTTAAAAAAAAAAAAAAAAAAGGAATTCCTCAGGCCTGGCCTCCCCAGGCCCTGTCAAACCAGTTTCACCCTCCCAGGGAGCCCAATGGGAAGTGAGTGACCCATTCTCCTACAGAGGCACTCACGGCCGCGAGCTGGACTGGAACCGGGTGCCCCGGTCATTCCCTTCTCCGAGCTCCACGCTCCTCTGGCACCAACGAGGGACTGGCAATTGTGGCCTCAGACCCCAAGTTAATGTGAAGGGCAGCGCGCACCGGGACAGGGGGCTGACATTGCCCCCCTGGGCTTTCCCACTGCCTCCTCCCGAGCAGTGCCCCAGCTCCTGTCAGCCTGGGGGCGGGGAGGAGGCAGCTCTGTGGCAGCTGCCTTGTGCCCTGAAGCTCGTGGGGACCTCCCTTCTCTGCCCACGCCTCCACCCCCCCCCAAGCCTCCTGCTCCCAGCCCGAAGTTCCCAAAGCTGAATCTATTAACTCCTTCATATTAGCCAGCAAAGGGGGAAACAACCCTCTTTCATCTTAACTGGAGTGAATTTGCATTAACACCTGGGGAGTTCCATTTGCCTTGAGAAAGCACATTGCTATTCTGAGCTGCACACGCTGCAGAGTTAGTCGCAGTATCCTATTCTTTTATTAATACGGCTTTTCTCTCCTCCCTCCTCTTTCCCATGGAAGAGAGAGAGCGGCTGGGGATGCCAGGGCTCCCCGCCCCGCGTAGGAACATCCAGGGAAGCTCTGGAAGGGGGCGCAGGGAGCGGCCTCCAGGTGGAGCGGGCACCGTGTCCCCACAGGGCAGGCCTGAGAGCTGCCCCCGCCCCATGCTCTGAGAGGCCACCCCGTTCCAGGGACAGCCCCCTCCCCAGGCCAGACCCAGGACCCCATCTGCCACTCTCTGCTGGGGCCAGTCCGTGCTGGGCATAGGGTGGAGAGGCCCGGTAAGGCAGTGGGTGTCCACACAAGGGGGAGCTCCTTGGGCAGGGATGGGGGCCAGGAGATGCAGAGAACTCGGGGTTGGCTCCCACTGGGCTGAAGGGCCCCAGCAGGGACACTGTGGAAGTCACAGCATTACAGGCAGGCCTGACTCAGTGGCTGCCGTGTGTCTGCCCCAGGGGCACTGGCGTCAGCCGCCCTCACAGCCTGTCAGCCAGGAACTCGTCTGTGCAACTTAGGGTGGGTGCACCTAGGAAATGTTGGGTCTAGGTTGGGTGTGGGTTGGACAGATCTTGGTTTTCAAAGGAGGTTCTAGAAGGAGAGAAAGGGGACCCGGTGGTGGGGGGGGGGGCGGGCAGAGAACAGTAAGTGGTGACACGCCTGCCCTCGGCCCTTCTTGCTCTCTAGTCTTTCAGGAGGCCCAGCTCCTCCTCGGGTCCAGACCTGGAAGGCACTTGCGCCCGTCTCCCTCCGCACAGCACTCACTGGCCCGGATTCCAAGGCTGAGGGCTGCTGAGGGCCTAAGACCAGC